CATAAAATGTAAATACGCTTACAACACTAGATCTAATATGGAAATAAGCAAAGACAACCATCCATTAATAAAAATAAGAACAAATTCCAAGACAGAACATTGCCTAAGCTGCAAACAAAGCACAGCAAAATGGGAAACCCTGGGAAAAGTTGAGCTCAAGTCACCAGGTTGGTTGAGGGCCCTGTCATTTCCACAGCTGGGCTCCCTCATGCCATTTCCATTTCCCCAAACAAGGATGATTATTCACACACAGGATATGCAATCACTCCATCCAGGCACTGTGTTGTGAATTTCTCCCTCTGGGAAACCTGCTGGTAGCAGTGCTTGCACTCAAAGACAACAGGGTCCCCTGAGCCATAGTAAGGGCTCGACTGGCTGGATGGCTGTGACTGAGTATTGCTCTTTTCCAGTGCTCCTAGCCAGGGAGCAGTTCCTTCCCAGTGTGCACCGTGGTATTCCAATGTCCCCTCCACACACTGTACTCTGATGTTAGGAGTACTTGGGTCTTTCAAATGCCCCAGTGTACAACAGAATTCAGTACAGTCACCTGATGTGGAGTACAGCTGTTTATTCAACCCATTTCAGCTCAATATTGTTTCTGCCCATATCTTCTTCTGATGCCGTACAGGCCACCAGGCAAACGGGGGGGCTTGTCCACTGCCCACTACGACAGGAGATTGTTGGAGATCTTTTCAAGATGTAGAAATTTGGGCATTTGTCTTCCACAGTGTCACCTTGCTGGTATTTTTGCAAGGGGAAGAAAAGAAGCTCTCCACTTGGAATAGCTGGAGGTGTTCCACATCTCCCAGCTTGTCCTTTGCATGTTGGCAGCTCTGTCCAGGTCCCATAGTCTTTTCCCAACCTCTTTCCAAACACTAAATGCAGTACTTGCAACAGTCCTAAAATCTTATTACTTTGCCCACAGTAAAACACTACGAAGGGCATAGTCAGCAGTCTCAATGCCTTCTTTTCCACACAGCTTTCCATGTAGATAAAATACTCTGCTCTTCACTTGGTAAGTTATTTCCCATTATGTCCCCAGCAGCTCACCTGTACCTCAGGTGTCAAAATCACTCTGGTCTGGACCAGGCAGCTTCTCCCACTGCTCTCAACACCAGGCTGGGCTCTGTCTCCAGCTGTACCTCACCCTACAGCCCAATCCCAAATCACATCAGGGGCACCATATGTCACAGCATATGCCACAGCATATGCTGCAGTTGAGAGGGCCACTACACAGAGCACCACCACACAATATCAGAAGGCTTCAGCCCAGAAGTATCACCACACCACATGACAAGACTTCAGGGTTCTACCCATACAGAGTGACACCATCTCACCTCAGAAGGCTGCAAGCTCTGCCCTTCTTGTCCTCCAGCCCAGCCTTTCACACCCCTCATGCTCATGCACGGCACCTGTGTGCCCTCTGCTCCCTTTGGTGGTTGGTCAGTAACACCTCAGCACCCCATGGCTCGTTGCCTTCAACACCGCTCACCTGCTCTGCACAGCTGCACCCACTGGGGATGAGGCTCAGCCCCACTCCCAATCCCCACACACTGTGTGCCTACAGGAATGATCCTGGGCAGGAAACCCCTGGCTTCACAGACGCTGCTACAAACACACACCACTGTGTGACTGTTCTCACATGTTGTCCCAAATCCCAGTGTGGAGAAGCCACAGTCACAATTTAAAGGGAAACAGATCCATGCCAAGCACTCACCCGTGATTCCTTGGGCTTTGTTTTGCTCCCCCACCCCCAGGTTCTGCTCACCTTGTAGGACCACATCCGGAGCTTATGGTCCTGGCAGAGGGCAAACAGGAAGGCATCGTGATCCAGGCAGTGCACGGAGAGGCTGACGGGCACATCCGAGGGGCCGCCATCACCTCTGGAAAACCAGGGCTTACATCAACACCTTCAAAGAAAATTCTCCATCCTGGAAGTGTCCAAAACCAGCCTGGACACTGGTCTATTGGAAGGTGTTCCTGGCCTAGGCAGGGGGTGGGACTGGATGAGCTTTAAGGCCCCTTCCAACTCAAACCATTCCAGGATTTCATTGTTCTAAAATCATGGCAGGGGCACAAATCCAAGGCAGTGGGGTTCCTCCACTGTGCTTAAATCCAAATAAACCAGTAGGTGAGATCAGGAGAAGGGAATGTTTCAGCATCCAGAGAGCAGAGGATACCACCACACCAGTGACACCCAGTTCTTCGCTTGCTTTGGTGGAACTGAAGCACATTCCCACTTCCCTATCCCCAGCCTGGTACCAGCAAAACACAGGTGAAGGATCCAGAGGGAAAAAAGGATCCAAGCAGCCCCCAGCATGGATCCTGCCAGCCCCTAACAAGGATCCAAAAAGCCAGGAGCAAGGATCCTGACAGTCCCAAATGATGCCTTAAGTTTTAGCTTTCATACTGATGCAGTATGGAATTGTCCAGATTCCATACTGCATCAGGATATAACTCTGAACTTCATATGAAGCGTTAGCAAGCTCTCTTCCCAGTTTAGTCAGACAAAACAATCCTTTTCCAGCCTGAGAACCAAGGACACCACTGCAGCTTCAGCCCCAAAAAGTATAAACAGCAGAAAATTGAGGGGAGCAATCTGGCAGGATGGATCCTGCCAGATCCCAGGCAACACCCCCCGATGCTCAAAGTCACTCAGGGAATCAAGGGACTCACTCCCACTTCCAAGAAAAAGGCCCTGGGATTCAGCTGTGCCCTCTAAGCCACCCTACCAATCCCAACCCACCACGGAGCATCCGTGTGATCCCCACGTAACCTCTGCTCGTCAGGAACACGCCGGGCTCCTCAGCACCAGGGCACAGTAATCCCTAATCCGTGCTGGCTGCGAGCCACATCCTGGGCAAATCCTTGGAGGCCAATTACTAGAGAACACATTCACAGACACATGGAACAGCAGCACCCTGCTAATCCAGCATTCCACTCCCAGCTTCCGTATTCTGATAGCTCCTGTGACCCCGTTAACTATTTTGGGTGGAGTATTTATAGGTGCCTGTGTGACTCAAGATAAAAATTCCAGGTGAGGGGATCCAAAAGCCAAAATTAGCTGTTTATCCATCTCCAGGCACTCACCTGATGGCAGTTGGCATCCAGCCCGTGAGGAAACGCTGCACCACCGAGCTCTGCTTCAACTCCACGACAGAAACACTTCCTTCAAAAACAATCAGAAAAATAAAAATGAAGATTAAGCAAAATTCCAAGATGGGAAAGGGGTTGTAGTGCCCAATCCTTACCAGGAGAATCGGGAGGAGGCAGCTTAAGGACAAAGATCCCTCCTGAGGCAGAGGGAAGGGCAAAGAGAGCCTCCCCCTCGCTGCTCAGCCAGGCTGCAGAGGCCACGGAGTTGGGAGCCAGCCCCGGCACGCTGGGAATCACGTAGTAATTGGAGGGATCCCTGATGTGGATTTTGCTGATATCTGTAAACACGGACTGCACTTGGCTCTCCGTTATCAGCTCCTGTGGGAAAACAGGAGAAAACAGCCTCAAGTCGTGCCAGAGGAGGTTTAGGCTGGATATCAGGGACAATTCCTTCATGGAAGGGGTAATCAGGCACTGGAACAGGCTCCAGTGGTGGAATTCCCATCCTGTGTGGATGTGGTGCTTGGGGACATGGGTGGCCTTGGCAGTGGTGGACTCCAGGATCCTACAGGATTTCATAAAACATCAAATACTGAGCATACGTCTCTAAGGCACAGGGGAAAAAAAAAAAACAGACATCGATGGAATGGCAACTGTCTCCTTGATAAAAAGGATTTTTCCAGTAAAAAAATCTCTGGCACAGCTCAGAGAAAACTGCTGGTGACACATCCCAACAAGAGCAGCTCTGCCACAGCACAGGATCATCCTACAATGGTTTCAGTCAGAAGAGACCTTAAAACCATCCAGTTCCAACCCACATCCATGGAAAGATGCTAAATGTGATATAAACCCTGCCTAGGATCCATCTGCCACGTGAAAAAAAGATTCCCAAGACAAAAGACAAAACCAGCCTTCTCAAGTGAGGGAAAAAAATACAATCCAGCCAGAAAGGGCTCTGGAAAAGCCAAGGCTCATTCCCAACTGCAGCTCAACTCCAGTGCCATGACACAGGCTGGACACCCAGCCAGTTCCTGAGCAAAACACGGCTAAATTCCCCAAACCTTCACTTTTCCTCTTGTTCCCGATGTATTCTGTGTCACCCAAGCCGCCCCTGTGCTGACGGGCTCGGCTGCCCGGCCCCCGGCGGCATTCCCGGCACTCACGCTGCGGTAGAGGCGGGCGGGGTGCGGGAGCAGCAGGCGGTGCACGGTCTGCGCCGTGAGCAGCAGCACCACCAGGTGACTCTGCACCTCGCACAGGTGGATGCCGCCCGGCAGGAAGGGGCAGCCCTGGATCCGCAGCCGCACAGCGTTGTTCAGCAGGTTCACGTCCAGGGATTCCTCCACCAGCTCCACCGTGTCCCCCGACGTGCTCCTGCGGGAACAGAGGGGCACACCTGAGGATGAGGAGGGTGTGAGAGGGGAGAGATGACGAGGATCTGAGGCACAGGAGGGTCTCAGAAGGGTGAGAAGGGAGAGCTGTGGATGAGGAGGGTCTAAGCGAGGCAAGGCGGACGGGGGCGTGCACTCACCATCGCACCCAGCGATTCCTGGTGGCGGCCCCGAGCTGCGCGCTCTCTTGGTAGCAGAAGCCGCCGGCGCTGTCGCTGTAGCGCCCGGCGGGGAGCGGGGCGACGCCGGGGGGCACAAAGATCAGCTCCTGAGGGGATCGCGGCGGGGCCCGGCCGGCCGCGCTCAGCTCCAGGCAGCTCCGCGCCGCCAGAGCCGCCGCCATCTTGGGCCGCTGCCTTCCCGCCTCGGCCGCGCGGGGCACGACGGGAAGGGGAAGAGCGGGCGCTCCCTGGCGGGCGGGAGGACGGGGGCAAGAGGGGACGGGGCGCCTCCTGGGGNNNNTGGGCAGGGGTCTGGGGAGAGGGATCTGGCATGGAGATGTGGGAAGGGGAATATGGGGAGGGGAGAATGAGGAGATGGTGTGGGGAGGGGTTACAGGGAGAGGGGATATGGGAAGAAGGTAAAGGGGAATTTGGGGAAGGGTTGGAGGAGGATCTATGAAATTTGGGGCAGGACACTGGGGAACAGGATAGGAGGTCTGGTTTAGCGGGGGCATGTGTCCTCAGCAGAACCCACCCTGGCAACTTCTAACACCCACCTGTGCCCATACCTCATCCCAGCAAAGCAGCCACAGCCGCCTTCCCAGACATGCCCAGCACACTGGCAGAGCACACGTTCCCATACCGGTGAGGGCAGTGGGGACACCACCATCCCACGGATGCCACACGTCCCCCCACAACACCAGCCAGTGCCAGTGCCAGTGCCGGGCCTGGCCAGGCTCCCGCTGCGCTCGGAACAATCCGGCCTTTGAGCGGATCCAGTGCCGGCACTCCAGGCTGTAGAATGGGCCCATTCTGGTGGCAGGTGCCGTGAGGGGCCGGGGGCTCCAGCTGGCCCCCGGCTTTACTGGGGGGGTGAAGCCCCCCGTGGAGCTAGCACACAGTTGGATTTGGGGACTCAAGTGTCACGGCAGTGCCAGGCCGTGCACCAGACATGGATGGGCTGAGGTGGGATGGAGGGGCACTGGGACCAGGCCCCACCCGCGGCACCCATCCCGCCCTGACACCCTGCATCCAGCCCGCGCCTGGTGGCAATGGGTGTCTGTGTCCCTGACTGTGTCCCCTCGGGCAGGAATGGGGGGTGTCCGTGGCTGGGACCCCTTCGGGTGCCCGTGTCCCCTGGGAAGGGACCCCACGGGTGACCCGATGGCTGCGGGCTCCCATCCACCATGCTCGGTGCAGCCCGGGACAGGATCGGGATTGTCCCGGGACCGTCTCGGGACCGTGCCTGGACAGTACCGGGACCACGCCAGAAGCACGCCCAGTTCTGTACCGGAACAGTACCGGGACCGTGCCGGGACAGTACCTGAACCATCTCTGGACCGTGCCTGGACAGTACCTGGACCACACCCGGACTGTGCCGGGACCGTGTCAGGACTGTACCAAGACTGTACAGGAACCATGCCTGGACCGGACCGGGACAGTACCGAACGGTGCCGCGGTCACGCCCGGGTTCGCTGCGCTACTGTCCCGCTCCCATTCCCGGGAGTCCCCGTTCCCGTTGCCGGGGCCGGGCGGGGCGGCCGCTGTCCCCGCCCCGGGGCGCTCCCGCCGCTTCCTGCGGGCACGGCCGGGACGGGGCGGGCCGGGACGGGTCGGGGCGGCGGCGGTAGCGGAGCGCGGTGAGTCCGGTCCCGGCGGGAACGGGGCACGGCCGTGGGGTCAGCGGGAGGGGAGCCGGGGGTCCCCGCCCGGCGAGGGCGGTCCCGAGGGTCCCCGGCAGCGGGGGTCTCCCGGTGGGGCAGTATCCGGGGGTCCCGGTGCTGCAGGAGCCGTTGCATCCCGGTGAAGCGGGAGCCGAGGGGCCCGGTGGAAAGGGAGTCGTTGCATCCCAGCGGAGTGGGATTCCTGGGTTCCGGTGGGGCGGGAGCCGTTGCATTCCCGCGCGGCAGGATCTGTGGGTCCCGGTGGAGCAGGATCCGTGGGTCCTGGTGGGGCAGGAGCCGTTGCATCCCGGTGGAGCAGGATCCACGGACCCTGGTTAGGCAGGATTCGTGAGTCCAGGGATGCCCGGAGTGAGGCAGGAGGTGGGGGCCCCCACGGAGTGGGAGTTGGGGATACTGGGGTCCCCGAGGGGCAGGGGACAGCAAGACCTTGGGGTGCCGGCAGACACCCGGGACAGGCGCCCAGAGAAACTGGGGATGTCCTCAAGCCGAGCCGGGGGTGCAGGACACGCTGTGGCATGTGGGGTGACCCTGGACAGGGGTCCCGGTGGGAGGTGGGGGTGTCCTGCGCCCCTCCTTCGGGATTAGGCGGCGCGACGCCATGGGCGCCGGGCACTAAGAGGCTTTGTCAGCCCCGCGGGTCGGTGCTGCCTTGTCCCGGGAATGCCGTAACACGGGGACCCCCGTGGTGCCGAGCCCCCCGAGTCCCCGCGGGCGGGAGCGCCGGCGCCCAGCCCGTGCCCGCCGGGCAGCGGCGGTGCCAGCCGGGGCCGGGAGCGACGGCCGCGGCAGCTGCGCCGGAGCCGGCGGCGACCTCTCCGCTCCCAAGGCCGCTGGGATTCTGGAAAATGCCTGGAAATGGTGAACCGCCTGCCCTTATATGGCTCCGGCGGGCTGGCGCGCCGCGGCCCCTCTCCCGGCGTGCCGTGCCGTGCCGTGCCGGGATCCTGGGAAAACGCCGTGGGCTGTGCCTCGCGCCCCAACTCCCGCGCTGGAATGTGCAACGGGGCCGGCGACCCCACGGTGGGGAGAAAATCCCACCTCCCTCCCGCCGGCCCGGCACCACGAACCCGGCGCCTGCCTCAGTTTCCCCCACCGGGGAGTTTTGGGGACCCACCAGAGCCCCCTGTTCGGCATTCCAGGGGGACCGCCCGTCCTCTCTGGCGGGGTTGGGGGCGGTCGGGGGCGTGAAGGTCACAGCTAATCCCACCCGGAGCAGGCGGGAGCGGGAGGGCTCCGGGCGGCCGCGTGCCCACCGAGGTGACACTGGGGGGGTAAGAGGATCAACCCCCCCGATCGATCACCGGGCGGGATGACGGCGGCCCACGGGCCCAGGAGTGTGGCCGCGGTCCCGGTGACGTGAGACCGGCGCCGTAATCCTGGTGTTGTGAGCGGATTAGGATGGCCGGGGGTGGCCTTCGGGGACGAGCTGCGGGAGCCATAAATCCTCGCCCGGGTGTTAAGTGGGGGAGCCCCTGTGGGGTCCCCCCGTGCCACCTGGGGGTCTTCTCTTGTCCCCCAGGCAGGGTGGGATAGTGGTCCGACACTGCCTGGAGGGATGCCCGGGGTCTACTGGCTCTGGTGTCACCGGCTGGGTGCCACCCACGGGCTCGAGGTGACCCTGGGACCGGCTGCCCGATGCCTGTAGGGGTGAGGAATCTGGGGGCTGGGGGAGCTGCTCCCGCAGTCACCTGGATCCGGGGTACCCGGGAGGTGCCCCCTGGCACGGCTGGATGTGCCAGCACCCGGGCTTCCGGGCTGTGGCACCACTGGGGACACGGGCCCGAACCCCACTTAGGAGGCACCGCGGTGGCGTTTTGGGGGGCTCCTGGCGTGCCCGGGGAAGCCCCGGGGAGGGCGGTGGCTGGATGGCGGCCACGCGGCACGGTGGGTGTGGGGAAGCGGCGGCGGGAACCGGCCTGACCGGTTCGGTGCCGGCACCGGGGGTGCCGGGGGGCTCGGGCGGCCACGCCGCCGGCGCAGCACGTGGCCCTGCTCAAGGTCACTGTCCCCAGGGCCACCCGCTGCGGTGACCGGGCTCAATTGGCCTCGACACTCCCACACGCTTTGCCACTGGCCACTGTTTTCTGGCTGTCCCAACCGTGTTTGTGGCATTGAGCGGTTTCGGTGGCACGGGAGGATCCCGGTGGCACCGGTGGTCCGGAAGGGCGAGCCGGCGCTGAGCTCACCTGGAAGGTGTCCCGCGGGCGCGGCGGTGACGCACGGCCCCGGTGGGTGGGGGCAGAGGCGCTCGTCCCACCCGGTCCCAGCACGGTCCCTGGGCGTGGGATGAGGAACGGCTGGACTCAAATCTCAGCATTGGTGGGCTGTGCAGAGGTCCTCCGTTGTGCTGTACCCAGGGATTTTTGAGATTGGGGGATGCTAGCACCCCTTGGCATAGAGGGTTTGGTCGTCAGGACTCTTCGACAGGGTGAACTCCCTTGGTGTCACATACCACCCATATTTGGGGGCTCTCCACACCCCTTAACCCACCATTCTCCCCCCAGAGCCACCCTGAGCCCCACTGGTGCCGGGGATGCCGGGATGCCGGTGCCTGCATGCCCACAGCGCCCTGCCCTGAGCCCGGAGCCCGGCTGTGCCATGGAGGATCCGCCCGGCACCAGGACCGAGGCGTGGGCCGAGGGGCTCCATAACGCCAACAACAACGCATCCCCAGGGGGGTGGCCGGCTGCCCGCGGTGGGCACCCCCTGGCAGCTTTCGGGGGTCCTGGGGCTAAGCCCAGCTACCTGGACCGCGTGGTGCAGGAGATCGTGGAGTCAGAGCGCACCTACGCCCGTGACCTGCGCAGCATCGTGGAGGTGGGTGCCAGGGGGCACACGGGGGCACACCCCTTAGACACAGTTTGGGGTCTAGGGGTGCAATGGTGCCACCTTGGGTGCCCGGCAGGGTTACCTGGGCAAGATCATCGACGCGGAGGAGCCGGTGCTGCGACCGGAGCAGGTCAGCGCGCTCTTCGGGAACATCGAGGACATCTATGAGCTCAGCAGGTGGGGGAGCAGGTGCCACTGGGAGGTGACAGGGTTGTGACCCTATCTAGTGGGTGTGTGGGGGCTGTGGTCACCCTGCCCTCTCTGTGCCCCCCAGCACCCTCCTGCAAAACCTGGAGAGCTGTGCCAATGACCCCGTGGCTGTGGCCGTGTGCTTCGTCACCCGGGTAAGGGCGAGCAAAGTGGGGGGCACAGGGAGCCTTGTGGGGACACCGGGGGGGACATGCGGTCATACCAGGCTCTCACTGTGTTCCCCTTACCTGCAGAGCCAGGAATTTGCCATCTACACCCAGTACTGCAACAACTACCCCAGGTGGGTTGGGGGCACACCTGGGTGAGCAGGGAGGCAGGCAGGGGGCATATGGGTGGGCAGGGGTCTGAGCCCCCTCCCTGCCCGCAGCTCGGTGGCGGCACTGACCGAGTGCATGAGGAGCAAGGTCCAGGCACGGTTCCTGCGGGAGTGCCAGGAGCGCCTGCGCCACGCGCTGCCCCTCGGGGCCTACCTGCTCAAGCCTGTCCAGAGGATCCTCAAGTACCACCTGCTGCTCCAGGTGAGCGCCTGGTGCCCAGCACGGCACAGTGTGGGCACGGGGTGGCACAGGGACACGGCTTGGTTGCCTGGAGCAGTCCAGGCACCTGGCACGGCACATTCCCATGTCCCTGGTGCTGTGCCCAGGAGATCGCCAGGCACTTTGAGCACAAGGCGGGGGACGACTACGAGCTGGTGCTGGAGGCCATCGACACCATGACCTGCGTGGCCTGGTACATCAATGACATGAAGCGCAAGCACGAGCACGCCATCCGCCAGCAGGTGGGCACCAGGGGGACACCAGGGAGACACCACAGGGGCAGTGGGTGGCACCAGGTGACATGAGATGGGCCGTGTGGCAGGGGTGCTGATGCCCCTGTGTCTGTGCAGGAGATCCAGTCACTGCTGCTGGGCTGGAAGGGGCCAGACCTGACGAGCTACGGGGAGCTGGTGCTGGAGGGCACATTTCGGGCACAGCGGGTGCGCCACGACCGTGCACTCTTCCTCTTCGACAAGGCCCTGCTGATCACCAAGCGCCGTGGTGACCACTATGTCTACAAGAGCCACATCCCGGTGCGGGATAAGGACAGGAGACTGTGAGGGTGACAGGGGTGGGGAGCCCACTGGGTGCCAGGAACTCCTGTGGATCCCCGGGATGGCGGGACAGGGTGGGTGCCAGGAACCCCAGTGAGTGCTGGGGTTGGGGGAACTGGGGAATGCTGGGAATGGGGGAGCCCAATGAGTGCCAGGGACCCCAATGGATGCTGGGGTGGGAAGTTCCAGGGATGCTGACGCCTCTCCTGACAGTGCTCCTCACTGATGCTGATCGAGAGCACGCGGGACTCGCTGTGCTTCAGCCTGGCACACTACAAGCATGGCAAGCAGCAGCACAGCCTGCAGGTAGGGGGGCATGGGGTGGGGGGCACCCTGGGGACACCCTGGAACCCCCTGCTCGACCCCACCACCCTCCCTGTGCCCTCAGGCCAAGAGCGTGGAGGAGAAGCGCGTGTGGACTCACCACATCAAGCGGCTCATCCTGGAGAACCACCACGCCACCATCCCCCAAAAGGTGAGGTTGGTGGGGTGGGCACCTCAGTGACACCAGGGACCCCCCAGCACAGCGAGGGGGGGCAGCTGTACCGCACCTTTGCCCCATTTCTCTCCATCCTCCCTCCACCCAGGCTAAGGAAGCCATCCTGGAGATGGACCTGTTCTGTAAGTGCCACCAGTGCCCTATCATTCCCTGTCTGCCCTACTCCATCCCCCCCATTTTCCCCGGTGTCACTCCCTGTCCCCACAGATCCCCCACGCCTGCCCCGCTGCAGCCCTGAGCGCCTGAAGAAGAGCTGGTCCTGCCAGCCCCTGGGTGACGCTGCCACCGAGCCACTCCAGGGACGCCGGCAGTCTGGTGAGAGCCACGTGTCACCAGTGTCACGTGTGTTCCCACCATGCTACCCCTCCGTCACCCCTTCACCAGGGCCCAGCTGTGGCTGGGTGACACCAAAGCCCGTTGAGGGGGTGGCACCGGGTGCTGATGGTGCCTCATCCCTGTTCCCGCAGAGCCCTTCCAGCACCAGGGGCACACGGAGACGCTGCTGGAGCGGCTGCAGGGACACGGGGGGCGCAGGCAGTCGGGTGTGGACAGCGGACGGGATCAGGGGGCTCGGGTTGCTGATGAGTTGGGGGACACGGGGGTGATGCCACTGTCACCTCCCCTTCCCCCAGAGCCCGCCAAGCACAACCTGTGGCACCTGGGCGAGCAAGGTGAGCTGGCAGGACCGTGGCACTGGTGTGGCAGGCAGAGGGGTGGCTGGGGGCCATGGGGGGAATTTTGGGGGATTTTTGCTCCACTAATCTCTGCTTTTCTCTATCCTGGCTGGCAGGGCTGAAGGTAAGGCCGGGTGTGGTGGGTTGGGGCGCCCAGTCCCTCCAGCCCTGGCACGGGGTGCTGAGCCCGGCGCTCACCCCCACACAGAACACGGGCAGCGACGGGGTGCTCCTGGAAGTGGGGGAGCCACACCAGCACCCCAGAGCCTGGGCAACGGTTGAGGGCGTGGTGGCGGAGGAAGAGGAGGAGGAGGAGGCTTTGGGCAAGGACTGCCAGGAGGAGCTGCCAGGGTCCAGGGATCTGCTGTTGGAGCCCCAGGAGGAGCAGGTACCTACACCAGCCCTTCAAACCCCAGGAGAGCATGCAGAGCACCCCAAATCGCTTCTGGGGCACTCTCTCATCACTCCTGGGGTAGCCTGCCTCACTACCAGGACATCCCACACCACTCCAGGGCACCCCATGTTGCTCTCAGTGCCCCCACCCAGGGCCCCATGGCTTGGCTGGGATTTAACCTGCTGGGAGCACCTGGCTGCCCCCCCCAGCTCATGACTCCCCACATTTGTCTTGCCCAGGCTGGGGAACACCCATGGGTGCTGGAGGGACCCAAGCGGCCGAGCAGCTGGGGGCCAGGGAGCTGTGAGAAGGTCAGTGCGACCCCCCGGCCCCCATCCGGGAGTACCCAGGGACCCAGCACCCACAGCCCTAACAGCAGTGCTGGGGAGCACCCCAGGGTCCCCAGATCCCCATCCCTGGTGGGGACCCTGGCGCTGCCCAGTGGGGACAGGGAACCGGAGCACGCTGCGGAGGATTTGCAGGTGCTGAGCAGCGAGGAAGAGGAGGAGGAGGAGGGGGAAGGAGCCGCCAGCATCCTGCCACCCTCAGTGCTGGACCAGGCCAGTGTCATCGCCGAGCGGTTTGGCGGCGGCGGCAGCTTGTCCCGAAGGAGCAGCCTGGCACTGGAGGGGACCCTGGGACGCACCCCCAGCCACGGTGGCAGCACCCTCAGCCTGGATGGGGGCCCCCCACTCGAATCCATGGAGCCCGAGGAGTCCCGCAGTGCCATCCCCTCACCCGAGCCCCTCATCAGAGCCCGCCGGGAATCGCTGCTCTCCAACCGGGACCGCCTGCTCCTCGACAAGATCAAGAGCTACTATGGCCACGCCGAGCACCGCGATGCCGGCTTCGGGGTGCGCCGCCGTGAGAGCCTCTCCTTCATCCCCAAGGGGCTGGTGCGGAGCTCCGTGTGCCGCCTCAATGGGCTCCCTCGGCCCCCCGAGAGCCCTGAGCCCCCCACCCAGCCCGAGGCACCAGAGCCGTGCCAGGAGAACGGGGCGCAGCCCCCCGAGCCGCTGCGCATCGTGGAGGAGGATGACGTGGGCACCGCGGTGTCACCCCCAGGGCCACCCCCGCAGCTGCTGCTCACACCCCCTCATCTGGGCACCAAGGTGTACCAGCTGGCTCGGCAGTACAGCCTCCGCATCAAGAGCCGCCGCGCCGGCACCCGCCGCCCCCCGCTGCCGCCGCAGGAGGACGGGGACCCTCCCCCCAGCACCCCTTCGCTGGCTGTGCCGCAGGACGAGGCGCTGGTGGCGTCCCCGTCCCCGCGTGCCCCCCGCAGCCCCTCAAGCCCCTTGGACGCCGAACCCTTCGCCTGGCCCGATGTTCGGGAGCTCCGTGCCCGTTTCGGGGCCCCGCGGCCGCCGCTGGTGAGCCGCAGCCGCTCGGCGCCCGAGGGTCCCGGCCGCGGTGGGCGCCCGGCCGGGAAGGAGCGGGGCAGCGGCCGGAGCCGCAGCGCTGAGGCCAACGGGGGCTCCAGCACCCCGAGCCCGGCACCAGCGCGGTACAGCAGTGATGGGGCGCTGTGGGTGGCGGCCGAAGCCCCTCTGGGCCAGGGGCAGCGGGTGCTGGTGCTGGAGCGGCTGCCGCCGGAGCCCCCGGCCTACGTGCAGATCCGCTCGCCCACCACGCGGGAGAAGATCTGCCTGAAGGCGGTGGTGGAGCGCTGCAAAGCCTACCAGGCGTCCGAGGAGTACCGGCGGCGCTGCCCCGAGACCCCCGGCAGCCCCGAGCCGCTGCGCCACGGCCTCGTCAGGGACCTGCGGCAGAAGTTTCAGACCCTCGATGCTGCCAGCTAGGGGAGAACGGGTGTCCCGGGGACCCCAAGGGAAGGAGCACCCCGTGGACCTCAAGTCTAGTTGGAGGAAGGGTCACTTCATGCATCCTCAACCTGCCTGGGATTAGGGGAACCAAATGGGCCTCCAACTTATCTGGAAGAAGGGGCACCCCATGGGCCCCCTGCTGTTTGGAAGAAGGAACCCTTTGGAAACTTCCAATCTGCCCAGGAAAAGGGGCACCCCCGTGGACCCTCAGCCCTCTTGGAAGAAGGAGCACCCTATGGACACTCAGCTTGTCCAGGAGAAGGGGCACCCCATGGACCCCGATGTACCTGGAAGAAGGGGCACCCCATGGCCCCCCATCCTACAGGAAAAGGGGTACCCCATGGACTCCCCCAACCCACCTGGCAGAAGGAGTACCCTGGGGACTCTCATCTTGCTCTGGACAAGGAACACCCCCCGTTCTCTCTGCCCACAGGACCTGGGGAACCCCAAGAACCTCCCACTACAAGTACCAGCGGCCCCCCATGCTCTGCAGGCACCCAGCACTGCACCCCACTTGCTTTCACATCTTTATTAGAAAAAAACCCCAAACTGAACCCAAAGTTCCTTTGTGGTCGCCCGCCCCCCCCAGGGTGTCTCGGCCCAGCTGCGGGGTGCAGGGGGCCCCCCCACCCCGGCTGGGGGGCGCACGGGATGGGGGTGCCAGAGAGGGGCCCCCATGGGCTGACGCTCTTTGGTTGGTGCCCGCGGGGGCCAGGGGGTCCCCCCTCTGCACCCACGCGCTGTGGGGGGGGGGGTATGGCTTTGGGGGGCACCCACACGCCCCCCGTGCGGGTGCTGGGGGGGGTCCATGCACACCTGTGGGACGCACACCTGTGCCGTGCGTGCGGAGGGGGGCCGGGGGTGCACCTGCATGCGGGGACACACGTGTGCAGACGTGTGCGTGCAGGGACACGTATGGGCACGGGGGGCACACGCCTGGGGGGCGCCTGCGGCCGCCTCCACGCAGGGGTGTGCCTGAAGCGTGTAAATGTATGTATATATATAAATACAAATATATATATATACACTGTGCACACGGACACGTGTGCTCGTGGCGGGGGGGGCTCGGGGGCCCCTGCCCACGTGTGACCCCCGCCTGCCCCTCTAGACCTGGTGGCACCTGTGCAGGTACCACACACGCATCTCCTTACGCACGCGTGGCCCCGCTGGCGTGATGTGGGGTGTCACCCCCCCCCCCCCCCGTCCCCCCCCCCCCCCCACCATCCAGGGGGGTTATTTCTTTTTTGGGAAGAAGCTGAAGCGTTTCTCCTTGTCCTTGCGGGGCAGGGGGGCTTCAGGGGGGGCGGGGGGTATGGGCAGTGGGAGGCTCTGCACCTTCCCGCGGCTGCCCCGACACTCCGTGATGGCCGCACTCAGCCCCTGCAGCCAGGCCTGCAGCTCCTCCTGCGGGCACGGGGAGGGGTCAGGGGGGCTTCCCTGGCCCCCCAACAGAGTCCCAGCCAACGCCAGGGCCCTCCAGCTAATGCCAGTTGCTCCAAGTTTTCCACAGGCACCCATGTCCCCTTGGGCACTGGCAGCCCCTCACTGTGTCCTCATGGCACCCCTGGCCAGCCCCTGGCCCTCTGAGCATTGCTGGCCACTGCTGACTATGTCCCCTGGCCATCACTGTGTACCCTGGTCACTGCTGGCCACCACCACGTCCCCTGGACAACTACAGCCACCCCATATACCCCTGGGCACCACTGGTGTCCCCTTGGGAACAACCAGCCGCCCTGTGTCCCTCCGGACCTCTCTGATCACCCCTGTCCCCTTGGGCACTGCTGACCACCACCACATCCCCCAGCCACCCCGTGTCCCCCCAGGCCACCCCTCACCTCATCCTTGCCATGGAAAAGCCACTCGCTGCCATTGCTGAGCCTAGGGACAGAGCACAGACACCAGTGCCACACACGCCCACTGTGCCACCCCGCAAGGCGCCGCACCCTCACCTGAGCTTGAACACGTGTTTCTTCTTCTTGTAGCCCGCGGGCACCTCGCAGCGGGCGTCCCACAGCCCCAGGGGCTCCTCGCCCTGGCACGGCAGCCCCAGCGCGCGGCTCTTGGCGTCCTTGAAGAAGGCGAGCTGGCCGCCCCGCAGGACGCAGTACCGCGTGCTCCACGACCTGCGCCAGCACCGTGTCACCCTGGGGACACCGCCCCGCCGGGGACACCGCGCTCGCTGCCACCGCTGCCGTGCCTACCGGTTGGATGCGCGCTTGGTGGCCGCCTCCAGGTCGTGCTTGCGGCCGAGGTAGCCCTCCAGTTGGACACTGCTGACACGGGCGGGCAGCGTGGCCGGCTCCTCCGGCTCCTCCCGCGGTGGCCGTGGGGTCGGTGACACCGGCTCCTCGTCACCTGTCCTCGGTGCCAGCTGTTGCGAGGCAACAGCGTGGTTATGTCGCAGTGTCGCCCACCCACTGCCACTGACGGACCCGCGGCAAGGTGTTGTCCCCTCCCATGGTGGCACCGGGCACGCGGGTTGCTGTCACCAGGGGGTCATGGACCTCAGTCTGGTGGCCTGGGGGTGGGTCACCCCCAGGTCTCCATACCAGTGACATCACCAGCTCCAGAATGTGGGAACTGGTGTCTGCTGGGAGCACCCGAGTGAGTGGCTGGGTGCCAATGACCCCACCAGTTCCGATAGGGAACTGGTGACTGCGGGGAGGATGGCTCAGCATCCCCATCCCAGATGTGATCCCCCACTGAGTGTCTGGGATCCTGCAGTGAGCCCAGCCCTGGGACCCTCTGAGCAGTGCCAGTGACCCCACCAGATCCAGTGTGTGGGAACTGATGGCTATTGGGAAGACCCCAGTGAGGTCTGGGACATGGTCCAGCCCTGGGTCTCAGTGTGTGTGCGTGTCCATGCGTCCAGCTCCAGCATGCAGGAATTGGTGGCTACTGGGAGGATCCCAGTGAGTGGCTGGGACGTGGTCCAGCCCTAGGACCCCCAGATCTCAGTGCCAGTGACCCCACCAGCTCCATTTGTGGGAACTGGTGGGTACTGGGAAGACTCTCAGCACAGTGCCAGTGAAGCCACCAGCTCCAGTACTCAAAAACTGGTGGCTACTGGGAGGATCCAAGTGAGAGGCTGGGACATGGGCCAGCCCTGGCAGCCCCCAGTCTTGGTGCCAGTGTCTCCTCAGATTTGGGGTGATGAGGTTGAACCAAGCTAGATGAGCAGTCCTGGGAGCCACCTCAGTGTTGTCACCAGCCCAGGGGACATGGGGACAGTGGGAGGTCTGGTTGGGGACCGTGGCATCAGTGCCATCATCTCAAGGCATCAGTGGTGCCTGACGAAGGGGATGCCCATTCAGCTGGGTGCCACAGGAGGGGCTTGGCCAGGGCCCCTGTCCCCAAGGAGCCAGGAGATGCCCATGTCCCCAGGCAGGCAGTGGTCTTGTCCCCAGATGTGTAGTCAGGGGTCTTGCCCCCAAGTAGGTGAATGTGATCTTGCTCCCAGGGCAGCAGATGTCCCAGGTAGAGGGGGCTCCTGTCCCCAAGCAGGGCAACGTGTCTGTGTTCCTGAACAAGCAAAGACCACCCTGTCCCAAAGGAGCCAGAAGATTCCCATGTGCCCCAGAAGGGAGAGCAGGACCCTGTCCCCAAGGAGATGCCCATGTCCCCGAGCCAGCAGCAATGTTCTTGTCCCCAAGTAGGTTCTCAAGGATCCTGTCCCCAGGCAGGGGAAAGTGATCTGGTCCCCAGGGATCCAGAAGATGGCCATGTTCCCAAGCAGGCTGGCAGTAAGCAGAGAGCACTCCTGTCCCCAAGCAGTTGAAAGTGGCCATGTCCCCAAGCAGGCAGAGAGCATCCTGTTCCTGAGCAGCCAGAAGATGCACACGTCCCTCTGCTGGCAGAAATGATCTTGCCCCCGGGAGCCAGGAGATGCCCATGTCCCCAAGCAGGCAGAAGAGGCAGAAGGGGTTCCTGTCCCCAAGGAGCCAGAGGATGCCCATGTCCCCGAGTAGGCTGGCAGTAAGCAGAGAGGGCTACTGTCCCCAAGCTGATGAAAATGGCCATGTCCCCACACAGGCAGAGGGGTACACTCTCCCTGAGCAGCCAGAAGATCCCCACGTCCCTGATCAGGCACAAAGGAGCTCGTTCCCATGTAGGCACTCAAGGATCCTGTCCCCAGGCAGGGGAGAGTGACCTGGTCCCTGAGGAGCCAGGAGATGCCCATGTCCCCAGGCAGGCAGAAGAGGCAGAAAGGGGTTCCTGTCCCCAAGCAGGCAGAGCCACAGAGAGCCATCGTGTCCCTGCACAGGCAGAGCACATGGGAGGAGCAGAGCTGGCAGCAAGCACAGGGGCTGGCACACGGTGACAATGCCCTGGGGGCGACGATGCCTGCCTCAGAGGGTGACAATGCTGCAGGGTGTGATGATGCCCCACAGGCTGCTGATGCTGTGTAGAGTGACAAGGTCCCACAGGGTGACGATGCCCCACAGGGTGACAGTGCCCCATGGGGTGACAATCTCCATATGGTGACTGTGTCTCTCGGGGTGATGATGTTCCACAGGGTGATAATAACCCACAGGGTGAAAATTCCCTGCAGGGTGCTGAAGTCCTGCGTGGTTCCAATGATGTCCCACAGGGTGACAATGCCCCGCAGGATGATGATGCCCTGCAGGGTGCTGATGTCCCGTACAGCAATGATGTCCCTTGGGGTGACACGGTGGCCCCAGGGCAGACACTCCAACTCTGGGTGCTGCACGGATCCCAGACACACGCGTACACCATGGATGCCACCCCCCATGTCACCCCAGGAGCTGGGGCAAAGGGGACCTGCAGTACCCCTCTGCCCACCCGGCCTTTTTGGGGTCATTCAACATTTATTCAACACAAGGCAAGGACAAGGTGAGGGTTGGGAATATGGGGATCTGTCAACACAGTGAGGTCATGGTCACAAGGGGTGCCAGGAGCTGTGGGACATGCAGGGACACATTTTTGCATGCAGGGACAACTTTTTGCATGCAGGGACACCTTTCTGCATGCAGATACAACTTTTTGCATGCAGGGACACCTATTTGGTCATCGGGGAAGGTAAAAGCTAAATTCAAGAACTGACCGGCTCTGGTCCATCTGTAGTGGGCAGCGAAGTGTCCTGTGTGCTCACATCCTTCTTCTCCTCCTCTTCCTCCTCCTCCTCTGACCTGCACAGGGAGACAGCCAGTCAGCATCCCCATCCTAGACGTGATCCCATAGGGATGGGGCTGGCTGCTGCTCTCCTGTCCCCCCTGAGAGATAAACGCCCTGTCAGGGTGAGGCTTGACCTTCTTCTCTCCTCTTCATCAGCATCAGTTTATTGCTTGGAAAAGGCAAATTGCTAAAAAGCCCCTTAATGCTACAAAACATCGTTAATGGTTTGAGAAAAGGGATGTGGAAACAGTGTCCCTGGTCACATGGAATGATGGTGGCATCCCTTACCCGGCCTCCAGCTCCCCATCCAGATCCAGGCAGTAGTCGGGAGCTTCGGAGCGCGTCGTCCCGTCCCGCGCCAGCCCCTCACGCAGAGAACGCCCGCCAAGGAGCTCCAGCTGCCAGGCAAGGAGTGAAGGTGGTAAGGGATGGGGGGCAGACTGCACCAGGGCAGGCAGAGGCCTCATCCCGAGCCTTTCTCACCGTTGTCAGCTTCCTGAGGGCAGCAATGCGCTCCTCCCAAGTGGCGGAGGACTTCTCAAAAGCCTCATGCCGCTTCAGCAACTTCTCCACCGCATCCACCGTCTGCCCGTAGTCGCTGCTGGCCAGGTAGGGCTCCTGAGCTATGAGCCACGACTCGGCCACCGAGGCGTCGCGGGAGAACTGGCACACCTCCAGCACTGTGGGAGGGATGGGCAGCGCTCAGCCCCTGGACCAGCCGCCCTGCCACCCCCGGCACTGCCGCACTCCTCCCCGGCACCCCCAGCGCACTCACGCAGCCGCAGCCGCTCCCAGCGCTGCTCCCACATCTCCATCATGGCTTTCCTCTTGTCCACCAGCTCCACCAGCTTTGCCTTGATCTGTGAGGGGATGCTGTTAGGGAGCGGCCCAGATGGCATCACTCCCACCACCCCCCATCCCTGATTCCCTCACCTCTGGTGAGTCCTGGTGCTTGCGCTGCAGCAGCTTCTTGCCCAGCTCGATGCAGTCGGTAAAGTTCTTGCCCCGAGCATCCACCTCAGCCTTAATTCCCTGGTGGTATTTCATCAGCAGCTCCACCGAGGAGACATCCCTGAGGACACAGAGGCACCAGAGTCAGTAGTGCCATCGGTTCCATGTCCCATCCTGGGTGCCCACTGGGTTCATCCATACCTGGGTTTCTCCTGTGTCTCAATCTGCCGGACAGTGCTCTCCATCCAGGAGAGCAGATCCCGTGCCATGCTGAAGAAGCGGTGTTTGTCAGCCGTGTCCGTCAGCCGTGCCCTGCGCCCGCTACATGCTTCCAGCAGCTCCTGCAGCGCTCGGGACACCTCCTGCTCCTGCTCCTGGATTCCAGCCGCCTTCTCCCCGGCATAGGCGGTCTGCAGGCGCGCTGCTGTCTCCCGGAACTGCTGCACCTGCACGAACCACAGAACGGCTTGGGTTGGAAGGGACCTCAAGGACCATTGAGCCCAGCCTCCAGCATGGGTAGGGACACCTTCCACCAGACGACAGAGAATGCTGAGTGCTGGCATCCACGTCAGGTTGGAGCCTCACCTGTGCCTCCAGCAGCTGGAGGTCCCTCTCAAAGGCATTGTGCATGCGGTGGAAAGCCTCCACTGTGCCGGCATCCTCGCCCAGATCCTGGGGCAGTTCCTGGCGCCGGGCGGCAATGAGGGCCAGCAGCTCAGCACCGTCGTAGAAGTATTTATGCAGGTCATGGGAGGCGGCAAGGAGCTGCATGCGGGTGTCAATCAGCTCCAGAAGGTCGGCCCAGCTCTCGTTCAGCCCGTCCTTCCACTCAGCTATGGTGGCTGCCTCGATGTGCCCCGCGTCAATGAGGTCCTCAATGGTCAGGTTCACCCGATCCACACGCTCCTGCCCCACGCTGCCTGTCTCCCGCGCAAACTCACGAAACTTCTCCCGCAGGAGCTGCATGGAGGGAAGAGAAGAGTCAAGTCGCCCTCCTCAAGCCACCCACCAGTACCACTACAACCACGGCATCACTCTCACCATGACATGGTCCAGGTCCTGCCCCATCTCCGGGGAGGAAGCAACCACATCGCGCTCAGCAATCCACTGCTCCAGCTCTTCCACCTCCCGCTTCAGCTGGAAGAGGTTGGACATGTTCTCCAGGCGCCGGCGGCGCTCCTCGGCCGCCTCCTTCAGCCCCGCGTAGTGCTTGTCCACCTGGCCCTGCAGCCGGATGATCTGCTCCCTGCGCGGCCCCGGCACACAGACACCCAGTTCTCACCCAGGAAAACATGTCCCAGACCCACCCGTGTTGACATCCGGGGGGTTGGGGGTGAAGGACCCGCTTTGTGCTCCCCATATCCCTCTCTGACCACCTCCCAGCCCAACTGGAGCAGCTGACACTGCCAGAGCTCCAGCCAAAGCCCCCACCCACACGGTGCTGAGGGCAGGGGGTTGCCCCGAAGGACAGGGGACAATGGCGTAGCACCTACCCCTCGGGGTGGCCGGCAGAGAGCAGCTGCTGCGCCCTCCCCGCCAGCTCCTTGATGGTTTGTCCGTAGTCCTCGATGGAGCGCAGCTGCCGGACATGTCTCTTCAGCATCATCGAGCAGCTCTCCTCATCCTATGGCACAGAAAACATTGGTGCCATCAGCACCAGGCATGACTGGGGGACACGGACTAGGGCCTAGACTCAGTGCCGGCCCTGCGGGAATGTCCTGGCTCCGTCTGATGCCACAGGGAGCAATGGTGAGCTCAGAGGGGCATGGCATGGAATGGGATGGATGCTGTGTAATGGCATAGGAACAACACATAGGAGCAGGACACACCATGGTGTGTCACATGTGGATGACGTTTAACAGAACAGCATGGCACCGCCTGGGTCAACACTGGATATCCCAGCAAGGCCCACTCCAGTGCAGCACAGACCCCCCAAACACGGAGCACCACATGGAATCACTCCTCACCTTTGGTTTCTCCTCGGGTCCCATGAAGAGCTCCTGCTCGCTGACCCAGGCCTCGGCCTCGTCAGCATCCAGGTAGTACTGCTGGGCCTCTTCAGCCTCCCGCAGGCGCCGGTGCCGGGCGGCTGCCTCCTCCTGCAGCGTCTCCCACAGCGCCCGCAGCTCCTGCGCCTGTGCCGCCAGCTCCGGGCCTGGCTCCTCACCGCTCCCCGCTGCCTCTCCCCGGCTCAGCACCTCGCCCAGGCGGGGGGCATGGCCCGCCAGCTCCTTCTGCAGTGTCTGCCGGCAGGAGGGGAGTCACAGTGAGAGTCACCCATGGGATGGATCCCGAGGGACTACCCGGGATGGTGGCTGTTGCTGCAGTACCCAGGCTCACCTCATTCCTCTTGGTCAGGCGCTGCACGCTCGGGAGGTCGGTGCCGTGATCCGTTGACCTCGCCAGGGAAAGCCGCTCCTGCACCCACAGCTGTGGGAAGGAGCACCCACTGAGCCCCCTGCAGCACCCATGGGCACCCCCAGCCCCCTCGGCCCCTGCCACAGCAAGAACACTCACCGCCTCATCCTCCAGATCCCGCCCCAGCTGGTACATGGCCTTGGCAGTCTCCAGCTCCTTCCTCTTCCTCTCCAGTGGCTCCAGCAGCTCAAGGACTCGCTGCCGGAGCATCTGCTCCTGCTTGGTGGTATCTGGCACGTCCCCAGCACCAGGGGTGCCCTGCCACCCCAGTTCCTCCAGCTCCTTCATCCATGTTTTCACTTGCTCTTCCAGTCTCTGGCAGAGCAAATCCATGTAAGTTAGGGATCTGAGCCTAGATGGAGAACCCCAGTCCCATTTGGGAGCAAACTCCACGGCTTGGACCTCCTGCCCCTTCCCAAAGGACCCTGTGAGGTGCCAGTACTCACCGTCAACCTCTTCAGCAGCAGGTTGGTGGCGGTGAGGTCCTTGACCTTCTCAGCGTGGCGCAGCTCCTCCTGCGCCCGCCCCAGCCAGCTCTCCAGCTCCCCGTAGCTCCGGGCGTACAGCGCCGCGCGCTCGGCCTCGAACAGCTGCCGGCCCTTGTCCTCGGCAGCGCTGCGCAGCTCGGCCCAGCGCCGCCGCAGCTCCTCCAGCCGCTGCGTCACCAGCGCGCCGTACTGCGGCTTGCGCGCGGCCAGCTCCGTCCCCTCCTGCAGCAACAGCGCACAGGTGGGTGGTCACTGCGGCACGGGGGCATCGCACCCACGCAGCAGGCTGGGAGCATTCCAGTCATGGAACGTCCCAGGATAACGAGTCCAACCATTCCACCAGAACTGCCAAGGCCACCACTAACCCATGTCCCCAAATGTCACTTCCACACATCTTTAAAATCCCTCCAGGGATGGGTATTCCACCACCACCATGGGCAGTCTGTGCCAGGGCTGCACAACCCTTTCCCTGAAGAAATTTTCCCTAATTGCCCTGGTGCAACTTGAGGCTGTTTCCTCTTGTACCTTCCCTGTTTTCTGGGAGCAGAGGCCAACCCCCAACTAGCTGCACCCTCCCGTCAGGGAGTTGTAGAGAGCAAGAAGATACCCCCTGAGCCTCCTCTTCTCCCAGCTCCCTCAGCAATTCCTCATGCTCCAGACTCTTCCCCAACTCTGTTCCCCTCCTCCGATCACGGTGCTGGCACCCACCGCCTCAATCTTCTCCAGCCAGCTCTGGTTGGGTGCCAGCTCAGCCATGAATGCCTGGTGCTTCTGCCACTTGCTGTGGAGACCACGGGCTTCTCCATAGGAGACATCCTGAGCCATCAGCATCTTCTCATCCACCCAGGCATCAAACTGCAGGGAAAAGGTGTCAGTGCTCAGCCAGTGGGGACCCCCCAGGGATGCCACCAGCCATGCTGCATGCCTACCTCACGGCAGCTCTGCAGGAAGGTCTGTAGGTCGTGGTTGTCCTGCATCAAACCTGCTGCCTCCTCCACCTTGTCCATGACAGCTCCATGCCTGTCAGGGAACCATGGATGTGCAGCATCAGCCCCGCTGCCCACACGCTGCCCACCCAACTGCCAGCCCTGTGCCGGACTCACCGCTCCTGGAGAGTTCGGCACTTCTCAGAGATCTTCTCGGCAAAGATGTTCTCCTCAGCCACCAGCTTGGTGCCACCAACCACCACCTCTGGGACCTTCTTGGCATTGCTCTCCACATCAGCACGAAAGTTCTGGAAGCGGTGCAGGGCAGCAGCCGAGCCCTCCAGCGTGGAGGGCAGCTCCAGGTGGGACAGCGTGTACTCCTGAGGGGCACAGCAAGGGATCAGCGCATGATCACCCGCTTTTGGGGTGCCCGTGAGCCAAGAGACCCAAAGGACACTGCTTGAGCACCCACCTGCTTGGTGAGGAGGATCTCCGCCTGCTTGGTGTCGCGAAGGAACTCCTGGAAGTTGCGGCACTGGGTGAGGAAGCGCTTCCGAGCCTCTGCCATCTTGCCCAGGGCAGCCCAGCCGTCCTTCACGCCGCCCAGGCGCTGCCGCAGCCCCTCGTATTCGGGGTCCGTCTGTCCCCCCAGCACCCGCTCTCCCGCCTCCACCAAGGCGGCGAAGGCTCCCGCATGCTCCTCAGCATCGCGCCGGGCCGCTTCGTGCCGCTGCAGCATCTCCTCTGCCTCCCCCAGCGACGCCGGCACCTCATCGACGGCCGCCACGGCTTTCTGAGCGCCGAAGAGCCACGCCTGGAAGTCATCCAGGTCCTGCAGGAAACTCCGGAGCTGCCCGGCTTCCCCCAGGGACGCTGCGCGCTCTGCCAGGGCGGCCTGCAGCTCGTCCCAGGCGGAGGTGGCCATCGCCAACTTCTGGGCCACCTCCGTGGCCGCCTCGGGCCGCTCCTCGGCCAGGCGCTCGGCTTGGGAGCGCAGGGCGGCCAGACGGTCCTGGGCCACTGCCAGCTCCCGCTCGATGCCGTAGAGCTTGCGCTGGGTGGCCAGGACGCCGGCCAGGTCACGGCCCAGCTCGGCCGTGGCCTCCACCGCCCGGGCTTTGCCCCGCAGCCATTTCTGGGTCTCCTCGGACTCCAGGTTGTAGTTGAGGAGGCGCAGTGCCGAGCCCACCGCCCTCCGGCGCTCTGACACCAGCTCCCGGAACCGGCCCCACCTGCGGGACAGAGGCGGGGGATGGCGGGGAGCGCACCGGCACCGCGTCACCCGCCTGCCCCGGCGCCACCGCCACCGTACCTCTCGTTGAGCTGCTCCCGGCACTGCCGGACCTGGGGGCTCCGGGGGTGCCCGCTAGCCAGGAGCCCGTCGGCTGCCTGGTTGACCGCGGCGATCTGGGAAGCCACGGTGGCCATGTCTTGCTCCAGCCCGTCCAGCCTGTGGGAACGTCCAGGCTTAGAAGAGCAGCAGCTCAGGACAGGGCGCGGCAGCACGGCCACGGCAGGGGCTCCTTCCTACCTGCGCTGCGTCACGTCCAGGTCCTCCAGCGCCTGCGGCACCTCCAGCTCTCCCAGCCAGGTCTCCTTGGAGCCCATCCAGAGATGGCAGGCGTCACTCTCCCCGAAAACAGTGTAGAGGTTTAGGGCATCCTGCAGCTGGCGGCCGCGGCGCTCGGCCAGCGCGGCCGCCTCGGCCTGCAGCTCCCGCAGGGCCGCCAGCCGGCTCTGCGCCTCGGGGCCGGCGCGCAGCTCCGGCGGGAAGCCCTCGGCCTGCTGAGCCAGCCTGTCCAGCTGCTCCCGGGCGGCCGCCAGCTCGTCCAGCAGCTCCTGGTGCTGCCGCAGCAGGACGAGGGTGCGGGATTCATCCTGGCCCAGCTCCTCGGCGGCCGCCCGCCGGCGGGCATCCTGCAGCCCCTCCGCCAACTCCTCCACCTCCGCCTGGAACTGGAAGAAGCCCTCGGCTTCCCGCAAGCCGCGCCGTCGGAACGCCGCCAGCTCCTCCAGCTGCGCCCACAGCGCCCGCACGGCCGCCCCCCGCTCCCGCAGCTGCTCGGCCGCCCGGCCCGCGGCCGCCAGCCCCTCGCCCACCGCCAGCGTCTGCTCCAGCCGCCCGCCCCGGCTCCGCAGCTCGGCCTCGAAGGCAGCGTGCCGGCGCTGGAGCAGCAGCACGCCCGGCAGGTCCTTCCCGAAGTCCAGGGAGGAGTAGAGCTGCTCCTGCTCCTTGATCCAGCTCTCTGCCTCGTCTAGCTCCCACAGGCAAGTCCAGAGGGAGCGGGATTGCTCCAGCAAGGCTCTCCTCCGTGCCGCCAGTACCTGCAGCTCTCGCCGGCACATCTCCAGGTGGCTCACGCGGTCCCGGATGACTTTGGGGTCACAGGGACGATAGCCTGGGCAGGGAGCAGAGTGGGTGCTCGTCAGGACAGTGTCCTGCTTTCCCTTGGCCACGCCAGGGATGCAGGGGTGTCCTGGCACACCTACCCTCAGCGTCTGCAAAGCGGAGGGCAGCAGCGCTGATGGCGCGGGTCTTCTCTGCCTGTACGGCCATGTCAGCCTCGAGCAGACGGTGGGTCTGCAGCAGCTCCTCTGCTTCCAGAAGGTGCTTCCCAGACTCAGGAGATGCCAGCTTCACCTGCAGGAAACCCTCAGCCACTTTGCATTGACACCCAAAATTCAGCACCAGCACCCCAACACCTCATCTCCCTCCCCAGTGAGCTCCCACCAACACCTGGTGGGACAAAGACACCTCACCCATGGTGACACCCAATGCCCACAGCTCACCTTGACCTCATCCATCCAGTCGATGCAATGGAGCATCTCCTGGAAGAGGTGCTGCAGGGTGAGGTTCATCTCCAGGCGCTGGCGGCGGGCAGCCAGCAGCTCCAGGAGCTGCTCCCAGAGCCGCAGGATATTGTCCTTCCTCCCGTTGATGCGCTGGATGTCGTGGTAGCCCTCCAGCTCCAGCTCCTTGGCCACCGCCTCAATGGCCTGCACCCTCTCCCTGTAGGCAGCTGTGTCTGTCTCGATGGCCTCGTGCTTCTTCTTGGCTGCCTCCACAGCTGCCAGGTCCTGCCCGAAGTTGTCCTGCCCAGCACAAAGCCCATGGTGAGGCTCTGGTGAGCTCCCCAGGGCGGGGGTCCCTGGGGTGGGTGGTTCCCCTCCTCACCTGGGCCACCAGGCGCTGGTTCTCGCTCAGCCAGGCCTCCCTCATGGCTGCTTTGCGGTCAAAGCGCCGTGCCAGCTGCTCCAGCTTCTCCTGACGGATCAGCTCGTTGCGCAGCGCCAGCTCCCGCTCATGCTCCGCTTTCTCCAGCTGCTCCCAGGCCTGGGGGAAGGCGGCACTGGACAGGTGGCACATCCCCCGTATCCCACAGCCTCCCACCGACCCGTGTCTTGTTCTGCTGGTGAACCCCAGGTGGAGGAGCACAACCTGCCGTGGCATGGATCAGTCCTGTCCCAGTATAGATTCAACATGTCCTGGGATGGACCTGAAATGCCTCAGGAGATGGACTCATCCTGCTCCAGGACCCATCCCAGCCTGCCCAAGGACCTGAACTGCTTGGGGACGGACCCAATCTGCCCCAGGAGAGGAGTTGTTTCCCCCAGGAGATGGACCTGACTCGACCACAGGAGACAGCCCCCAAGTACCACAGCAGACGGAGCCCATACCCGGTTGATGTCAGAGACCAGGCGCCCCTCGTGTGGGGTGTAGACGCGCTGGTTGTTGGCCCTCATCCGCGACTGGATGGTGAAGAGCAGCACCTCCAGGTTGCCCTTCTCCTGAAACCTGCCCCAGAGAGAGCTCAGCGCTGGGCACCCTTGGGTGCCCCACACCACCGGGTGGCCATGGGGAGCAGGGGGCTCTTACTTGGGGGGCTTCTCCACAGTGCGGTAGGTGCTGAAGGCTTGCAGCTGGTGCTGCACCCCAGCCAGCGAGTTGGCGAAGCTGCGGCTGTTGAGTGAGGCGATGGTCTGCTCAATCCAGGTGAGCAGGTCGGACGCCAGCCCCCCATAACCCTCGATCATCCGCTCCGTCTCCTTGGCGTGCTCGATGACCTGTGGCGGGATCGGGGGGGAGCATGAGGGGCCGGCACCCCAAGAGAACACCCCCGACCGCCTCAACGCCGTTCCCTACCTTGCCCAGGCGCCTTCCTTCCACCTCCAGCACCTTCATCTTGGAGAAGTAGTGGTAGAAGGCCACCACGTAGGTGATGATGGACTTCTCATCAGGGTTCTCCGTGAACACATCTGCCCGGTGTGAGTGAGAGGCGTCACTCCTGACCCAACCTCAACCCAACTTCACAGGCCACCACAGCCTCATGAGGTCCCTCCTGTGCCCACCCAGGCCCTCTTCCCATGTATTGGGAACTTCTCTGTGTGCCATGCTCTGGAGCCTGGGAATGTCCCTGGGGAAACTGAGGCAGGGGGACATGCAGCAATTGCCTCACCTTCAGGGTCAAGGAGAGGGGTGATGCCCAGGTGCCGCTCTGCCACGCTGAATGCATGCTCCAGGTTGTGCCGGGCATTGGATTTGGTAAGGTTTTGGAAGTCAACCAGCTCAGGCCTGGGAACAGAGGGCACAAGACAGCAGTGACACACCTGTGGGACATCTCTCGGTGCCACTGCCACCCCAGTGCCTGCTGACGTGCCACCTACCTGTGTCTGTGGATGAGGGCATTGAAGGCCAGCCCATCCTTCCAGCTCGAGGTGAAGTTGGTGACATTCACATGGGGATACCTGCAATGCGGACAGGGTGTCACTGTCACTCTCTGGACAGTCACAGACCCTGACGCGGTCACATGGGGGTCCCACCACCTACCCTGCTGTCTTCATCTGGCACCAGAGCAGCAGTGCATCCCTGGCAGAGCGTGTCTCCCGGCCCTCCTGCGTCTCCACAATGATGTCCTGGATCTGGGGGCCAAAGGACATTCTAGGGTTGGAACAGCAGTTCCATGGAGGATGGCTCCCACCTGGGAATGAGGTGTGAAGCAGAGGAATGCCCCAAACCACCTGTCCTCACCTGGAAGCGGAGGATGATGGTCCAGATGAGGCCAAGGACGAGGCGGTGGTTGCCATCCACGATATCGTGGGAGCCCATGTTCTCCAGGTGCACCCGCTGCTCCTTCAGGAACTGCAGCGCCTTGTCCACATTCTCCAGGCAGTGGATCCGCATCCGGCCCTTGGTGGGCTTGGGCTGGGGCATGACAGTGCTCAGCACCCTCCCTCCCACACCAGGTACCCCAAGCTCTGCCCAGAGACACCCCCATCCCCGTGCTGCCACCCCACCCCTTGGCCAACTCCAGGAGAAATGGTGTGGTGTGCCATGGCAGGCCACAGGTCCCAGGGTCTCCAGCTGGATGGGATTCCTACCAGAAGCTCTCCTGACAGCACTTCCAGCAGCTTGATGAGCACCCGCCCGTCCCGGAGGTCCATGTAGAGGTCTGAGATGCGGCAGGTGACACGAGCCAGGTGCGAGTTCACCCACTTGGTGAAGGTTTTCTTCTGCACGGCCTCCCGCTCATCTGGAGGGACAGCGGGCATGTGGTCACCGACAGTGGGGACAACCCAGGTGGCACTGAGGGGACCTGCCACCCACCTGCCAGGGCTTTGATGCGGGAGCGCTCGAAGAGCCGTGCGGAGCTGTTGTCGTTGTCCAGCTCATCGTCGGACGCGTCCCAGCGGACATTGATGCGGCTGTACTGCTGCTGCAGCTCCAGCTGCTCGTAGTCATTGGCCGAGGTCATGGTCCCAGTGTGCCCCGGCCCGGTGGCCGTCGGCTACCGGTGAGAGGCCCCTGGGGGACAGCGGGACCGTGAGCATCAGTGCGGACACGGTGGCTCAGTGGCCCTGCGGCACGTGGGGATTTGCGGCTCAGAGCCGCGGGATAAGCTGCTCAGAGGGATTTAGCCTCGCCCCACCCAGGTGTTGGGGGGGCACCTGGCAGCTGCCCTCTCCAGGACCACCGTGCTGAGCCCTGCCGAGCTGTGCTAATGGCTATTTACGGTGCTGCATCCCCTCACAGGGCCCTCTGCCCAGCTGAAACCCCAGCCCAGGTCCCCAGAGGTGTCTTCCCAATCCTTGGATGCCCCCAGGGAAGGGGCTGCTGCTCACCTCCACCCCGACCCCTGCACTGAACAGGGGCTTCGCCAGCACCGGTAGCAGAAAGTGGGTGACAGCTGCCGGCAGGGGGGGGCACCCACCCCCGGGGACATTTGAGACACAGATAGGACATGGCTGGTATCTAAAAATGCCTCTGAGCAGCTGTCGGTGGCTGCTGGGGCCCCCTGAGGGGTGCGAGGAGATGGGCTGGGGCTCCCTGCAGCCAGCAGCATGTCCAGGACCTCTCCTGCAACCCAGAGCTGCACAGAGCCCTCAGTAGTGGGTGCCAGGGGGAACCCCGTGCGCCCCAAATCCCTGCTGTCCCCGTGAGCTGTGACAACCCATGGGCCCCCAGGTCCCCCTCGGATGCCCCGGGTGTCCCCCATGTCCCCCCTGACAGGGTTATCGGGGCAGCCCAGGCTGTGCCACACCCCAGCTCTGCACCCTAATCGGGGCAGCACAGGCAGGGCCTTGGCTTGGACCTGGAGGCACCAGGAGCGTGAAAGGACGTGGAGGAGCATGCAGGAGTGTGGGCAGCACAGCAAGGACACTCGGGAGCACACCAGAGTCTGCAAATGTGAGGAAGGGCATGGAGAAGGGTGGCAGAGTGTGTACCGGTGAGCCAGGACATGCCGGGGACTTGTCACAGCATCCACATGTGAACGAGGACATGCAGAAGTGTGACAGAGTGCTCCTGTGAGCAAGGACACACAGGGACATGCCAGAGTGTGCACAGGTGAACGAGGACAAGTAGAAATGTGCCAGAGTTTGTATGCCTGAGCAAGGACATGCAGGAACACACCGGAGCATGCATGGGACACAGACGACAGGCACTCGCGTGGCTGCAGGGCCATGCAGGTGTGTACCAGAGCAGGCAGGAGGGTGCTGGAGCTGGGCCTTTGTGCCTCTGCCAGAGCACCCAGCTCGCCCTGGCAGGAAAGCCCTCTGGGAGACCAAATTTGGGGATTTTGCCCCCAAAGCTTCAAGGACTGCCAGCAGTTTGGTTGTGCTAAGTTGTGTCGAGACTCTGCAGGATACCTCAGTTCTGACTATGTCCCCAACAACACGGCAGCGGGGCCATGGCTCCGAGCATCCAAGGAGGAGAAAGAGGAGGAAGAGGAGGAGGAGGAGGAGGAGATGACGCCGAAGGGAGCCACAGCAGGCCCATGGGAGCATTCCCAGCGCGGGCGCTACCCACCCTTTAAATCTCCCTCCGCCACACCGGCGCCTTCCGAGCATCCCTCCCTGCCACAGCCACGCCGCCACCAGCACCCGCCACCCGGGAATTGTCATTCCTGCCGCTCAGCGTGCGGAAAGCTGGGAATGCCAGCATGCCGGCCTCGCCGCCAGCATCCTGCGGCCATGGCCCGGGCAGCGTCGCCTTCCCCGGCCAGCGGCTCGCCTCGGTGAATCAGCACTTCCCGGTGAGGGGCTGGCACCGTGCCACCACCACGGTCCCCCCGCCAGGCATAGGGAATGTCCCCCCACACCCCAAGGGTGGCCGGGGCAGTGTTGGCACCTGGCACTTATGGCACCCTCAAACCCGTTCCCTGGCTCATCCCTCACAGCCACAGCACGCTGCCAGCAAGCCCATTTCCAGTGCACAGAAAGTCATCAGAATCGCCCAAAACACCCCAAAATTCTGCCCCATCACTGCCACCCAGAGCCTGGCGTGTCCCCATTGCTCCACTTCACCAAAACACTTGGATTTGGCATCTCCCCCATGTCCAAAAGCAGCCGTGCTCCGGTTGGGAAGGGGCAGGAGCCGGGGGGCATCCCCCAGCCCCCCAACAGTCTCCTGCCTGCCAGGGCCGGGAGCAGATGGTCCCTCTCGGCACGGCGGCGTGGCACAGCACGGGGCACTTGGGCATGGAAAGGCAGGGCACAGATCCTCCGGCAGCGCTGCCCTGCCCCGGCCAGGGCTCCCCAGCCACACTCCCACCCGCCTGGAGAATTTGGGCTTCCCCAGGGCCACATGCCGGCCGTGCCAGGACTGTCCCATGTCACCCAAGCCGGTGACACGCACACGTGCTGACACTCCACAGACATTTTTGGCTATAAATAGGTCTCCCCTGCACACGGCGCTAGCTGAGCCCCGCTCCCTTCTTAGGAGCTGCCCCCCCCTGCACCCCACAATCACCAGGCAGTGCCCCAATACCACATGATAGCTATAAAATACTCCGTGGGGGGCCATGCTGGCACCCAGCAAGGTTTTCTGAGTCCCCTGTGCTTGCCACCGTCTTCTAGGGCACCCCAATCCCCTGGTTTGGGAGCTGGAGATTTATAAAGGGAAAAGCTGGGAAATCAGGCCTGGGGGACCCCTAGGTTATTGGGGTGAGGGTAAGAATTCCCCGACCCCAACACCCACCCATGAGCATCCTCCTGGCACCGGGACAAGGGGGACCAAGGGCACGGCACCCCAAAAAGCCTTCCAAGTAACCCTCCAGTTTGCCCAGTTGCTAAAAACTGGGGGACGAAGTGGGTTGGGTGATGTGTACCACCAAGACCCTCAGGACTCGGCTTTTCCACCGCGTCCCAACAGTGCTGGGAGCACCAAGGACTAGTGTGGGGAGCCCTCCAGGGGTTGGCACCCCAGGAAAAGTGTCCCCAGGGTGTCCCCACACTGTCCCCGGGCTGTCCACAGGGTGTCCCTAGAAAGTCACCGCCACTCGCCCGCCCCGTCCTTCCCGAGAGCAGCCCCGAGGGACACGGGGTGACAGCAGACCCCCCGCGGCGGGCGAAAAGGGGGTTCAGGCTCCCCGGAGGGCTCTTCACCCTCGCCACCAAACTTTCCTCCGTGCCCACCTTCCCCCCACGCCCGGTACCGCGCCCGGTGTTCGGTGCCGCACCCCCCACCCGGTATCCCCGGGGCGGGCAGCGCCTGTCGGTGCCCCCCCGCCGCGTGTCCCTGGGGACCGGCGCTTCCCGCTGTGCCCCGGTCCCTCCCGTGCTCCCTGGAGCGGCGCATCCCGGTGCCGCGGGGTCTCACCTGCGCGGGGCGGCGGGCGGGCGAGCGGCGGCGGCGGCGGCGGGGCCGGTGCGGGAGCGGGGCGGGGGGAGCGGAGCCGCCCTGCACCGCGATATAAATAACATTATCTGGGCGCGCAGGGACATTCCTACCCGGAGCCGGCGGCGCTGCCCGGCCCCGATAGCCCCGCTCCCCCCGGGAGGGCCGGGCCGAGCCGACCGGGCGGGCGGGGACGGGGATGGGCGCAGGGACGGGGACGGGGACGGGCCGCCCGCCCCGCAATGCAGCACAGCGGCGCCCCCCGGCCGCCAGCGCCACCGGCACCGGCAGCAGCACCGACACCGGCAGCACCGGCATCGGCAGCACCATTGGCGGCAGCACCATTGGCGGCGGCACCGGCGGCACCGGCACCTGCAGGCTGCGGAGAGGCGCAGCGCCCCGCCGACAGCGGCGGGGGTCCCCGGCCATCCCCCCCGGCCAGCCCACGTGTCCCCCGCTAGCCCTGGATGCCCCCCAGCTAGTCCCAGGCATCCCTCAGCTAGCCCTAGGTGTCCTCCGCTAGCCCTGCGAGCTCCCCGACTCGTCCTGGGCACCCCCTAACAGACCTCTGTGTACCCCAGCTCGTCCCAGGCACCCCCTGATTTGTCCTGCGTGACCCCCACCAGCCTCCACTAGCCCCAGCTAGTCCGTGGTGTCATCCATCTAAGCCAGGCAGTCCCCATCTAGTCCGGGACGATGCCCAGCTAGCCCAAGCCGCCCTACAGTCAGCCCTGGGTGTCCCCCGCTATCCCTGGATGCCCCCCAGCAGTCACGGGCACCCCGCACCTGGCCCTGGGTGTTTCCCACTAATCCAGAGTGTCCCCCAGCCGATTTCCAACACCCCACAGTTGGCTCTGAATGTCCCCCAGCTAGTCCTGGGTGTCCCCCACTAGCCCTGTATGCCGCCCAGGTACTTCCCGGGGTATCCCACTAGCCCTGGGTATCTCACTGCTAATCCCAGGCAGCTCCCAGCTAGCCCTAGGTGCCCTTCGCTAGCCGCGGATGCTCCCCAGGTCACTCTAGGTGTCCCCCACCAGCCTGGGGTGCACTCAGGTAGCTCCAGGTGTCCCCCCTAGCCCTGGGTCCCCCCCAGCCCAGACCCCCCCAGTTATTCCTGGTTGCCCCAAGCAGCCCCACGGCCCCTTAGGCCCCGCCCATTCCATCAAACCACGCCCATTGCGCCCCAGGCCACGCCCACACCCAGAGCCTCGGCCCCGGCCCTGTCACTTGAGCCCCGCCCCTCGGCGCTGGTCTCGCGACATTTGCGGGGAGGGCGGTGCGAGATGTGCGGCGGCTGTGTGGGCACCGAGTACCCGGAGCGGGTGAGGGCGGCCGCGGGGGGCACCGCCACCGGTCCCGGTCCCGGTCCCTGTCCCTGTCCCTGTCCTGGACTGTGCTCCCGCCCTAGGGCACCACCTGCCTGGAGGGCGGATCTTTCCTCCTGAACTTCGTGGGGTGCGCGCAGTGCGGCCGCCGGGACTTCGTGCTGGTCAGCAACCGGGCGGAGGAGCTGGACGGCGGGGAGGAGATCGTCACCTATGACCGTGCGGTGGGGGGACCGGGGCGTGAGGGGCCGGGGGGCTTGAGGGGGTGGGGGAGCCTTTGGGGTCTGGGGCTTGGGGTTCCTGAGGGTCGGGGGAGCTGAGGGGACCTTTGGGGTGTGGGGCTCTTGAGGGCGACATTTGGGGGATCCTTGAGCCATCCCTGGGGCTCAGGGATCGCTGAAGGTTGGGGGTTTTGAGGGCTGGGGGGGTCCCGTGTCTGGGGGTGTTGAGTATTGGGGGAGACCTTGGGTCTTGGGCGTCTTGAGGGATGCTGAAGGCTCTGGGGGAGCTTTGGAGTCTGGAGCTTGGGCGATCTTGAGGGTTAGAGTGGGCTGGAGGGGATCTTTGGGATCTGGGGAAGGCTGCGGGGCACAGGTGGAGGCCTGGGGGTAGCATTTGGATTCTGAGGGGTATTGAGGGCTGGGAGGGACTCCTGGGGGGTGGGGGCTCTCAAGGGCTGGGGCATGATGGGGGGGCTCAGACATTAAAGCAGGGGGAGGCCTAAGGGAGGATTATTTTGAGTAGGGATAATTTGGGGCCCCGATATCTGGGGATTCCCTGAGGGTGGGAAGGGTGGATGCCTGGAGGGGGTCTCAGGTTTTAGAGGCAGTATCAGAGAGTTGCCAATGGCATTAAGGGGGGTGAGCTGCTGTGTGGGGAATTTTGGGGGCTTGATGCTTTGGGGACTGGGACGTTTATGCCCTGGGCGTGAGGGCAGGCACAGAGTATTGGGGCTTGTCCCAAGAGATTGGGAGTGGAGGGATACCCCAGGGACGGTGTCCATGTCCTTTCACCCCACTGTCCCCTGTCCCACAGACCTGTGCAAGAACTGCCACCACCTGATCGCACGCCATGAGTACACCTTCAGCGTGGTGGATGACTACCAGGTTTGTGTCTTGTCCCGCAAAAGCCCTTCCCAGTTCTGTCTCTGGAATTCCAGACCCACCCTTCCACGGGCTGATTCCCAGCTTCCCTGGGACGGAGCCTTGAAGGATTCAGAGCCCCATTCCTGTGTTCAGGGCTACCTGGAGTCCCCCCAGCGCTAGTCCGTGCCTAGTGGGGGAAGCCCAGCTCACCTGGCATGGGAATGTGGGTGATGGGAGGGGGCTGTGACCCCCATTCCTCATTCCTGGCACATCTCCTAGGCAGCAAAGGGCTGGAAAAAGGGCTCAGGGGAGCCGGTATGGCTGGAAATGAGATCCCCTGGCTCTGATTGCAATCAGGGATCAGGTACCAGATCTGGCTTGAGTTTCTCTGTGGGGGAGCAGGGCTGTGGCAGCCCCCCTTTTTCCAGCCCCCCCCTTTTCCTTCCCCCAGGAATATACCATGCTGTGCCTGCTGTGTGGCCGTGCTGAGGATTCCGTCAGCATCCTGCCTGACGACCCTCGCCAGATGACACCGCTGTTCTGATCCCCATGTGTATCCCAGGATGAGCTTCCGGGAGCTCTGGGAGATCCCTGGATCCCTGGCACTGTAATTTCTGGGGACCACACAGTCCCTGACATGATTTGCCCCTCCAAACTTCCAGCTTGGATGCAGCGAACACCCAGCACCGGATGCTCCCGTGTTTCTGGAGCCTTTTGGCTCTGACCCTGACTGCAAGGATGGGATGCAGTGCCATGGCCCAAGCCCCTCATGTACCGAAGACATAAAAGGGTCCCCAAAACAGGATCCAAAAGGATTCTCACTCCATCCCACCTCAGGAGCCCTCGTATGTGGGGTAATAAATGTGACGTGTGACAGCTTGGTGGCACAGGCAGGAGTATTTCAGGAGTGGGCGTCACCCCCTGGGGTGGTGAAGGGTGTTGGGGGTTGATGCAGGCGACTTTTTCCATCCCAGGAGCCTGTGGAATTCCTCCTTGGCCCTTCCCAGCACTGGGGAGTCCACTGCACTCTCCCAGTGCTCTCCTAGTCCCTGCAGAGAAAGGACTTGGATCTTTTTCCCTTCCCATGGAGTTGGTTTGGGGTCACTTCCCCCTGCCCTGGGGTTTGGAACCTGGCCCTGCCCTGCTGGGAATTCCATATTCCTGAGGCGGGAAGGAGCTGGGTGTGGGAAATCACTGCCCTGGGGTGGGTGAAATGTTGCTCTTGGCACCCAGCCCTAGCAACACCCATGGGGAACTGGGTGCAGCCGGCTTGGCACCCACCTATCCCTGAGCCTCCATTTCCTGGATCTGGCCTATCAGGGCTGTGTCCTCCTTCCTGTTCCCACCAAGAGCCCCCCAAAACCACATGGGTATGGGTATGTTTCTGAAAACCGCATGGATCCATTTACACTCCCAAAAACCACGTGGATCCAGGCATGCTCCCTGCGGCTCATTTATTGCCACCAGCCCACGCCGCCCCGGCGGCTCCAACCCTCTGCCCCCATCAAGCCCCCTCCCCATGGAGGTTTCAGAGGGGGCTGTCACTCTGCGGAGAGCTGGGGCCATTCCGGGGTGACACCGGAGCCAGGATCACACCAGAGCCAGGATCACACTGGAGCTAGGATTACTTGGCCAGCTTGAGGAGACGCTGGATGTCAGGCTCCAGCTGGGCCGTGGGCACACGTGGGCTGTAGCGCCGGAACGGTTCCCCCTCAGGCCCCACCAGGAACTTCTCAAAATTCCAGGAGATATCGGAGCGCCGCACAGGGCTCCAGACGACAAAGCGGGGCTCGGCCATCAGGTGTGCAGGCTCGTCGGCCGGTGCAGGCAGGTGAGCCTTGAGGTAGGCGAACACGGGATGGGTGTCACTCCCGTTCACCTGGCACTTCTGGAACAGGGTGAAGTTGGGCTCGAAGCCACCCCCAGGCCGCACGTGCTTCAGGGTGTTGAGGATCTCCTCATTGGTGCCGTTCTCCTGTGGCAGGGAAGGAGAAATCCAGAGCCCTGTGTTTCCCAGCTCCTCACCCCCTGCTTTGTTTCCCATAGGACTTACCTGGTATCCAAACTGGTTACAGGGGAAGCCCAGCACAACCAGCCGCCGGGGGTAGCGGGCTTGGAGCTGGTTGAGCTGGGTGTAATCCCGCACCGTGGTGCCTCAGAGCGAAGCCACGTTCTCGATCAGGACCACGCGGCCCCGGAAAACACCAAAATCCACCTTTTCCCCCTGCAAGGAGGTGGCGCTCAGGTCATAGAAGGACTTGGCGATGGGGACGGTCATGGCTGCAGGTGTGCGGCTGCTTGTGCCCCGTGCCCTGCGCCGCCTCTTAAGGGCTTCCCGGTGCTCACGTCATGGTCCAAAGGTCTCCAGGCCCCGCCGCGGCTCAGGAGAAACCTGAGCTGCCCGTCCCACCCCTGGAAGGAGGAAGGTGGCACGGGGCCAAGGCGATGCTCTACCTGCCTCAATAATTCATGGCACGGTGCGCTGCGGCTGCTCATCCTAGTGCCTGCGGGATGTGGGATGCTCCCAGCCTGGCACGGCATGTTCCCGAGGGTTGGGAATGATGGTGAGAGTTGGGGAATAACGAGAGTCAGGGAATAACAGGAATCTAGGAGCTGGGGCTCTGTGGGGCAGAGGAGGAGGGGACAAGTGTCCCAGTATTCTTCCTTGCCGGGTGCTGCCATGGCATCACCTCTGGGTCCTCCTGTGCTGCCCATCCCAGTCCCCACCAGTCCTGCAGCCCACTGGTCCCAGTACCAGCTCTACCCTTGGGCCTATCTGCTGTGGTGCCCACCATTGTCATGTGGTGCCCATCCCAGTGCCTGGCAGCATCCTGGTGTCCACCTAGATCCCTGTAGGTTCCACTATCTCAGTGCCCACCATCATCCCAGTAACCACCCATCCCAGCCCGCCACCATCCCGCTGCTGGCTCATCCCAGTGCCGCCACCAAGTTTTCGTGCCTGTTCCCACAGCTGGGGCTGAGGGGCTGAGCTGGTAGCCTGGCAGGCTGTGGTGGTGGCCATGGCACTCCATGAGCACCATGCCCCATGTCCCTGTGCCCAGCCTGGAAAGGGGACACCATGCTGACAGCCCCAGATCACCCTCAATTATTGATCACCGCTCGGGTGTCCATGCCCAGGCTGTGCCTGCCGCCATGGCATCATGCCCACAGCCCCCCTGGAGCACACAGACCACCAGCCCCTCCAGCATGACCTTTATTCTGCAAACCACTGTGTAAAACCGGGGGTCCCACGGGCACGGGGTGGCACAGGGTGGGCACACAGTGCCTGGACAGCCCCCACCCTACCCGCAAGCCGAGGAGGGCACAGGTGCCAGGATGGGGAGGCCCCCCTTGCCACGTTCCCTGTCCCTGGGGGTGTCCCGTGTTGTCCCCCCACTCTATGGGGGCTGCCTCAGTCCTGCCCCTACCATGCCCCCTGACGCAGCCTGGGCAGGAGGGGTCAGGGGGTCCCAGCCTTCAACACCAGCAGGTTTTGGGGGTGTCCTCGCTCCCCAGGGGCTGCTGCTCGTCCTCCTCCAGCCGGACCAGTGTGGGGGCGCGGGGCAGCCCCCGCAGCTCGTCCAGCTCCTTGCGGTGCGCCTGCAGCACCAGCTCCGTCAGCCGTGTGAAGGACTGTGGGAGAGGGGTGGGGTGAACCTGGGGGACCCCTCCAGTACCCCCTGACCTCTCCAGGCCCCCCAGGCCAGCCACAACCCCCTCAGAACCCCACCACCCCCCCACCCCAGTTTCCTCATACCTCCTTGATGTTGAGGTTGCTGCAGGCACTGGTCTCGTAGAAATCCATCCCGTATTCCCTGGCCAGCTGCGGCACCAGGGGTTTGGCGGGGAGGGGGGTAGCGTGATTTGGGGGGAGGGGGGATTCAATACCCCTGCCCCCCACCTCTGGAATGTGAACAGCCGGGCACCGACAGACAGGAGAGCTGCGGGGGGGGCTGGCATAGGGGCACACCTGGGGTTGGGTGGTGGGTGCAGGGGGCCCTGGGAGGGATGCTGGATGCTTTGGGGTCCAGAGGTCTCTGGGAGGGATACTGGGAGGGGCTGGGGGTTGTTGGATGCCCTGGGGTAGCACTGGGCAGTAAAGGGTTTTCCTGGATGCTCTGGAGCGGCAGGGGGAGGTCAGTGGTCCCTGGGTTCAGACTACAGGAGCATGGGGGGGGTCACTGGATACAGGTAGGGATGTTTGGGGGTCCTTGGATATGGATAGGACTGCAGGAAGGCTATTGGGGTCCATATGGAATGCAGGGGAGCCTTGTGGAGAGTCTGGCCATGCTGGGATTGTAGGGAGGTGCACTGGGTGCTTTGGGGGTCAAGAGGTCCCAAGGGGGACACCAAGGAGGTCACTGTGTGCTTCAGGGGTACAGGAGACCGTGCTGGGGGTGCAGGGAGAGGTTAGGGGGTCTCTGAACATTTTGCAAGTGGGGAAGAGGGAGCCGGGGGGGTGCACAACCACTGCAGGGATGGAGGGGTAGAGGGTTCCCGGACACTGGGGGAGCTGGTGTTGGGGTGCCTGGGTACAGACTGCAAGAGGGTGGGGGGTCCCTGTCATGTTGGGAGGGACTGGGGAGGCTTGGGGGTCCTGGATAGAGGTAGGGCTGCAGGAGGGCTGTCAGGGTCCTGAGTGCAGGGGGGGCTCAGGGAGAGACTGACCATGCTGGGGGTGCAGGAGGGGTCCTGCCCCCTGGGGGGGGCACACAGCAGCCCCCGCTCACCTGCAGCCCTTGCTCTTTGGGCACTTGCCTCTTGTGCTCCTTGTCCGCCTTGTTCCCGATGAGGATTTTCTGGACGCCATCGGGTGCGTACTGGGCGGGGGAACAGTGTAAGGACCCCCCACCCCCACACGGCTGGGGAACCTCCAGACCTCCCCTCGTGAACCCCCACCTCATCCACGTCGCTGGCCCACTTCACGATGTGCTGGTAGGAGCGCTCGCTGCTGATGTCGTACACCAGGAAAATGCCCTGCAAGGGGTGGGGGGTGGCTGTTGACACCCCAAAACTGTGCCTCAGTTTCCCCTCTCCTGTGTATCAGGACAGCGAGCCCCCATACCTGTGCTCGCCGGTAGTACTGCTTGGTGATGGTCTGGTACCGCTCCTGGCCGGCTGTGTCCCTGCCCAGGGACAGTGGGTCAGTGCCACCACTCATGGCATGAGTTTGGCAGGGCTCAGCCCTTACCTTGGGTGGGGGGAGCAGGACTCAGGCCCCCCAAAATTTCTTCCCTCTTCCCCCCGGGATCCAGTGCTGCCACTCACCAGATCTGTATCCGCACCTTGATCCCATCCACCTCGATGGTCTTCATCTTGAAGTCGACACCTGGGATTGGAATGGGGTGGGGTGTCCTGGTGTTTCCCTTTGCAGCAGCTGCTGTCACTGGGGGCCCTCTGGTCCCCTCACCCCTCCTGACCCACCCCACGCCCCACCACGGCCTGGTGCTGCTCCCCACACCCAGTGCCTGGCCTTGCAGGAGGCCCTGTGCCAGGTCTGATCCTGGTGCTCCCAGTTCCCTGGTGCTGCGGCTGACCAGTCCTCCCAGTTCCTCAGTGCTACGGCTTCTCGGTGCTGTGGCTGCCCAGTGCTCTCTCAGTTCCCGGCTGCATGCTGCTCCCGGTTCCCCTGTGCCAGAGGTGCCTGGTCCTCCCCATTCTCCCATATCCAGGATTTCCTGGCTCCCTGATGCTCTCGGTTTCCCAGCTTCCTTATGCTGCGGCTTCCAGGTGGTCCCGGCTTGTGGATGCCCACAGTTTTACCGTTTCCCGATGCTCATGGCTTCCCGGTTCCCCGATGCTGTGACTCCCGATGCTCCTGGTTCCCCGGTGCCCACAGTTTTCCCTCTCCCCGGTGCCCGGTTTTCCCGCTCTCTGGTTACCTGTTTCCCTATGTTCCTAGTGTTGCAGCTCTCCAGTGCCCACGGTTAACCCTTTCCCCGTGCCCCCGCTTTTCCCGTACCCACCACTCCCCGGTTCCCACGACTCCCGGGTGCCTTGGTTTCCCGTTTCCCCGATTCTGTGGCTTCCCGGTTCCTCGGTAGTCCCGGTTCCCTGATGCCCACGGTTTTCCTGTCCCCTGGGTTCCCGTTTCTCGGTTGCTGCGTCTCCCGGTTCTCCAGTTCCCACGGTTTTCCCGCTCCCCGGTTGCCCATTTTCCCGTTTCCCTGGTGCTGCGGCTTCCCAGTACTCACGGTTTCCTGGTGCCCACGGCTCCCCAGTTCCCCGGTTTCCCTTTTCCCCGGTAATGCGGCTCCCAGTGCTCCCGGTTACCCGGTGCTGCTCCTCCCCATTGCTCCCGATTCTTTGATGCTCCCGGTTTCTCGTTTCCCCGGTGTTCCCCGTTCTCTGGCTTCCCGTTTCCACGGCGCTGTGGCTCCCAGTCTTCCCGGTTGCCCGGTTCCCCGATGCTCCCGTTTCCCCGGTGCTGCGCCTCCCCACTGCTCCCGCTTCCCCGATGCTCCCGGTTTCCCGTTTCCCCGCTCCCGCCGCCGCGGCCGCCGTGCGCTGCCGGTGCCGGTACCGATGGTGGAGATGTGGGCGGGGTGGAACTGGTTGTCGGTGAACCGGCAGAGCAGGCAGGTCTTGCCCACGCCCGAGTCCCCGAGCAGCAGCAACCGGAACAGCACGTCGTACTGCTTGGCCATGGCGGGCCCGGGCCGCCGCCGCCGCCGCCACACCGGGGCCGCTCCGGGGCCGCGAGCTGCGCCGCCGCGGGGCGGGAGCGGCGGCGGCGGGAGGGGGCACCGGGAGGGGAAACGAGGGGGGCGACACCGGGGATGGACCGGGGGATGCTGTGGGGAGCGGGGAGGGGACACCGGGGATACACCGGGGACGCACCGGGAGATGCTGTGGGGAATTGGGCGGCGACGCGGGGGATGGACTGAGAGGAGAGCTGGAGAGAACGGGGGGATGGAGGCAGGAATGCACCGTGGGATGTATTTGGGATGCTCTGGAAAACGGGAGGTGGGAGACAGGGGATGTTCCAGGAGGAGCAGCGGGGACTCCGGGGGCTCTGGGGGCACCAGGAATGTACCCGGGATTGCTCTGGGGGCATTGGGAAGGGGACGAAGGGGTGCAGCAGGGGACACTGGGGTGACGAGGAACTGGTGACACTTAGGAAGGCTGGGATGGCACCCAGCAGGACCTGGACAAGGGTGAGTTGTCCAGGTTTTCCTGTCCAGGGATAGGTTCCCATGGGAACCTCATGGGAGTAAACGAGGCCAAGGACAGGGTTGGCACATGGATTAGGACAATTCCCAAGATAAGTGCAGGATGAGGGTGGTGGGATGGAGAACAGCCCAGGTGAGAGGAATGTGGGGAGATGAGAGGCTGGATATGACCTGACAAGGCGTGTTGGCAGCCCTGGAAAGCTGCCCACGTCCTGGGTTGTGTCACTGGCAGCATGGACAACACGTGAGGGGGGATTGTCCTCCTCTGCCCCACTCAGGTGAAACCCCAGATGGAGCACTGTGTCCAGCCCCGGGGTCCTTGTCACGGGAAGGACAGGGAGCTGCTGGAGCAAGTCCAGAGGAGGCCACAGAAATCCTCCAAGGGGTAGGAACAGGCTGAGGGAGAGCTGGGATTGCTCAGCCTGGAGATGCTCAGCCTGGAGAAGAGAAGGCTCCAGCGAGAGTCAGAGCCCTGTCCAGTTCCCACAGGGCTCCAAGACAGATGGAGAGGGACTTGGGATGAGGCCATGGAGTGACAGGACAAGGGGGAATGTCTCCGAAGTGGAAAAGGGGAGGTGTAGATTGGATATCAGGAAGAAATTCTTTACAGTGAGGGTGGTGAGGCACTGGAGTGGATTTCCCAGAGAAGCTGTGGTTGCCCCATCCCTGCAAGTGTCCAAGGCCAGGCTGGACAAGGCTTGGAGCAACCTGCTCTAGTGGAAGGTGTCTCCGCCCACAGCACAGGGTGGAACTGGATGGGTTTTAAGGTTCTTATCAACCCAACCCGTGGCTTCTATGATAATGCAATAAATGACGTCACATCGCGATGACGCAGCGGCATCGGGGGGAGGGGGTGTGGCTCCTCCGCGCACGCGCGCCAGGGCTGGGCGTGCCCAACAAAGAAGGGGAGTGGTCATCTGGAGAGGGGCGTGGCTGTGTGCTGTGGGCGTGGCCAGGAGCGCGCCCGCGCGTCCCCTCCCGGCCGCCGTCGCCCGCTGCCCCCGCGGCCGCAGCATGGCGGGAGCGGCCCCCGGCCCCGGCGGGCGGCGGCGGCTGCGGGACGATGGGCTGCGGACCTGCACCTCCGCCGAGCAGGTGCCGGGGGGCTGCACTGCGGAGCGTGGGGTGCCGGGGCGGTGGGGTGTGGGGTGCCGGGCTGCCGTGGGGCTGGGCTTCGGGCTGCCATGGAAGTGCGGTTCAGGGTGCCGGGCTGCCGTGGGGCTGGGCTTCGGGCTGCCATGGAAGGGCGGTTCAGGGTGCCGGGCTGCTCTGGGACGGGGCTCAGGGGTGCCATGGGAGTGGATGATCCCGATCCCGGTATCCCCACGCAGCTGCTGTCCCCACAGCCCCTGTGACAGCAGCCCAGCAGTGAGCAGTGTTTGGGGGCACGGCGGTGCTGCCGCCCGCCAGCCACGGCAGCTTCGGCGGGACACGGCCCCCGGAAGCAGCTGGGGGAGGGTGAGGGCTCCCGGGGCAGCCAGACTCTCCCCTCCGTCCCTCTATCCTGGCCCAGCCCCTGGCAGCTCCCCTGGGTGCTGGGACGGGGTAAAAAGTGACTCCGGGTTTCCCAATCCACGGGGTTCTTCTTGCTCAATTGTGCCCTGGCAGGACGCAGTGCCCTGAATGCAGGTCCCCGTGCGGCCCCTCCTCACCCCTGAGGCTGATCCCGGGGTATTTCCTTGGGGATTACCGTGGCTTAGAGTGTCCAAGTCCCCAGTTATCCCAGCGTGAGCGGGAGGAGAGTGTTTTCTATGTCAGTCTTATGCTGAACCAAACTCAAGCTGGATTTGTAGAGCAGCATGGGATGGTGCTGGATTCTGGCATAATTTGGGGCACAAAGCTCCTGGGAATTCCTGCTTTGGTTTTATTGGGTGAGATGGGGCTGCGAATCAGATAAACCCCTGGGATGAGGTGGAAGTTGCAGGGTTCAGTGGGGGATTGTGTTTGGGATGCGTGGAACCTCTTCCCAAAGCTCACCGTAGTCTTTATTCCCTTTTTCCATGACAAGTCCAAGGTGGAGGACATCGTGCAGGAGGTCTATGATGCCTACAAGACAAACCATCACTCCTCACAGTGAGTATCAAAACTCCCAATAACCACAAATAACTCCCATCCCAAAAGACCCACTGACGCCAGTGGGTGCTGCAGTAGGATTCTGCCCCTCCTGCCACTGTCCCCCTGCTTTCTCAGGCCACCCTGCCTGCTCATCCTATCCTCTCTGTATTCCAGGTACGTCCTGCAGCGGGAGAAGCACTTCCATTACCTGAAGAGAGGTCTCCGGCAGCTCACTGAAGCCTATGAGGTACCGGGAATGCCGGATGTGCCACCTGGAGCCACTGCCTGGGGGGATCCCCTCGCCCTGGGGCTGTCACCAGGGCTGTTTGTTGCCAGGGGTTTGCCAGCCCCAGAGTGGACACAGCATTCCCTGTGCCCACTCTCATCCCAGCGATGCTCTGGGGGTTCTCCTGGCTGTCTCCTCACTCCTGCCGTGTCCAGTGCCATTCCCTGACAGTCCCCTCTGTCCCTGCAGTGTCTGGATGCCAGCCGCCCCTGGCTCTGCTACTGGATCCTGCACAGCCTGGAGCTGCTGGACGAGCCCATTCCTGATTCGGTGGCCTCTGAGTAAGTGGGGAGAGCTGGGGGGACCCCACCATGGCCACTGTCGCTGCTGGCCACCCGCGTGACTCCGGAGGTGCCACCTCCCGCTGTCCCCGGAGCAAAGGAGCGCTTTGTCTCCCTGCCACCGTCAATGCCGCCCATTCTTCCGGCGGCTTCCTCGTGACGACGGAGACGGGAGGGTGACACCCCCGGCTTCGACCCTGGGGGGATTCACGAGGCTGGGAGGGGATGCATCACCCCAGCGGGGTGACACAGGTGATGCTGAGCCCCTTCCCCACCTTCCCGCAGCGTCTGCCAATTCCTGAGGCGGTGCCAGAGCCCCCAGGGTGGATTTGGGGGGGGTCCCGGCCAGCACCCCCACCTCGCCCCCACCTACGCCGCCGTCAACGCGCTCTGCATCATCGGCACCGAGGAGGCCTTCGGCGTCATCGACAGGTCCGGGGGCCGGGAGGAGCTGGGTGGGAGCGGGGGTGCCTGTCCCCCCTCTCACAGCCACTGGCTCCTGCAGGAAGAAGCTCTTGGAATACCTGCACTCGCTGAAGCAGCCGGATGGCTCCTTCCTCATGCACGTGGGTGGAGAGGTGGATGTCAGGTGGGTGAGGGCTGCGTGGGGAGGCTGTTTTGGAGGGCCTGGGCATTTTGGGGAGCCAGTGCTGGAAGCACATGCTATGGTGGGGAGCTGGTGCCATTCTGGGGATTCGGTGCTAGGAGCTGGGGATGTTTGGGAGCCAGTATAATTTTGGGGTGCTGGTGCGATGGTGGGGAGCCACTGCTAATTAGGGGTACAGTTTTGGGGAGTCAGTGCTACTTTTGGGGAGCAAATGCTGGGAGCTAGTGCCATTCTGAGGAGCCAGTGCCATGGCAGGGTGCAGTTTCGGGGAGCTGCTGGTGTTTTGGGGAGTGGCTGGTGTCACACTGGAGTACTAGTGCTTTTTGGGAGGTGGTACCCTGGTGGGGAGCCAGTGCCATGGGGAGGTGTAATTTAGGGGAGCCAGTGCTGTTTTGGGGTGCTGGTGCCATGGCAGGGGACCAGTGACAGGAGCTACTGCCATGGCAGGGTGCCATCGCAGGGACCCAATGCTGGATCAGGGACCTTGTGCTGTTTTGGGGAGCCAGTGTAATTTTAGGGAGCTGCTGCCACTTTGGGGTGCCAGTGCCACATCCCTGAGCACCTATCTCCTGAATCTCTGGGCACCCTTTTCCCGCAGGAGCGCCTACTGTGCCGCCTCAGTGGCCTCGCTGACCAACATCCTGACGCCTGCGCTTTTTGCTGGGACGGCCGAGTGGATTGCCAGGTGAGATCGGGGGACAGGTGGGGGACACGGGTGACATTCCCAGCATCCCTGCTGCCCTGACCCTGCTCCCATAGGTGCCAGAACTGGGAGGGTGGGATTGGCGGCGTGCCGGGCATGGAGGCGCACGGTGGCTACACTTTCTGCGGCGTGGCCGCGCTGGTCATCCTCAAGCAGGAACATCTGCTGAACCTCCGGAGCCTGCTGGTGAGTGACCCCTCTCTGGAACCCGGGGCTCTCATCCTGCCAGGGATCTGTGGTCCCACACTGGTTCCCATCGCCCCGCAGCACTGGGTGACCGGGCGGCAGATGCGCTTCGAGGGCGGATTCCAGGGCCGCTGCAACAAGCTGGTGGATGGGTGCTACTCCTTTTGGCAAGCCGGGCTCCTGCCCCTGCTCCATCGGGCACTCCATGCCAGGGGTGAGTTGCCACAGGCTTCCTCTGCACCCAGAATGGCATCTGGAGGGATTTGACACCTGTGGTGTTTCTCCTCTGGGTTTCCCTTCCAGGCGATCCAGCGCTGAGCATGGCACACTGGATGTTCGACCAGCTGGCACTGCAGGAATACATTCTCCTATGCTGCCAGTGCCCAGCTGGCGGGCTGCTGGATAAGCCAGGAAAGTGAGTGCAGGGGGCAACACAGGGCTGCCTGGCATCAGGGATGCCCAGATGCCTCCTCAGCATCCCAGCATCTCTTTGCATGCAGATCCCGGGATTTCTACCACACCTGCTACTGTCTGAGTGGGTTGGCCATTGCACAGCACTTTGGAAGTGGAGATCTCCACAATGAGGTGGTCCTGGGTATCCCTGAGAATTGCCTGGTAAGTGCTAGGCATTGCTGGGGAGGGCAGGGATGTGTTTCCAGCGCTCCACAGCACTGAGAAAGGCAGATCCAATGGCAGTGAAAAGACTTGGGGTTCAGCCTGGAGAAGAGAAGGCTTCAGGGGGAGCTTAGAGCTGCCTCAAGGGCCTAAAGAGCTTCAAGGGAGATGGAGTCAGGCTTTGGACAAGGGTTTGGAGTGATAGGACAAGGGGGAATGGCTCCAAACTGAAAAAGGGGAATTTTAGATGGGATATGGACAAGAAATTCTTCCCTGTGAGGGTGCTGAGGCCTTGGCACAGGCTGCCCAGAGAAGCTGTGGCTGCCCCATCTCTGGAAGTGTCCAAGGCCAGGATGGACCAGGCTTGGAGCAACCTGGGATGGTAGATTCCCTGTGCACAGTGGGTTGGACTAGGTCATCCTTAAGGTGCTTTCCCCCGCAAACCATTCCAGGACTCCACGATTAACATCCCCTATCCCTCTCTCTTCCCACAGCAGGCCACACACCCTGTCTACAACATTGCCCCGGAGAAGGTGGCGAGGGCGGTGATGCACTTCCTGCAGTATCCTGTGCCCAGCCTGGATCTGGCATCCGCTGCCGAGTAGGGGGGTCCCGCTGCTGGCTCGGGGTGTCCCGGCAGCGAGCGGCACAGCCCATCCCGCGGCGGCCTGGCCAGGCACAGCACGGTGCTCAGGGTGCTAGCAATACCAAAATCCAGCCTGCTCCAGGCCGGGTGTCCTGCTGCCATCCTGGCCAGAGCCGAGGTGGGACACGGGCTCTGGCAGAGCTTTTTGGCATCAATAAACCAGAAGTCACACCCGCCGTGTGCTGGTGGCCCCGGGGATGCGGGGCAGGAGGTGATGCCACGTCTGGATCCGGTGGCACCAACTTCCCCCATTCCAAGAACACACGGTAACCATGGGGGAAGATAAAATAAGTGGAATTTTGGCTTTTTTTGTTTATTATTTATAGTCTTATAGTAAAGGGAAGCCTTAACTTGCAAGACAACTCTGGGCAGTATGTACAACATACCTTAGATCCATGGAATGGCATCAAAATGGGGGGAAAAGGGGCACCTACGGGGCAGGGACGGGCCACTGGAGTTCGGAAAATGCCACGGAGGTTGGGAAAGGTCAAGGGAGGGAAGGAGGAGGAGTGGGGAAGGAGCCCCCAAGCCTGGCTCTGTGCTCCGCCGACTCGGGCAGGTGGAGTTGCACACGGAGAAAATAAATAGGGAGATCCCCCCCAGTGCTTGCTCCTTTTTTTGGGGGGGCTGCCTGGCTCCTCCCCGATCTGGACTGCACTGGTCCCCGGGTATAAATAGAAATGCTCCTATAAAACCAGGAGGGAAGGGGAGGGGGGTCGCTAGCGGAGGGGAGTTGGCGGGGGAGTCTCCCTGACCCCCCCAAGTCTTTCTGCTCGGCCTGGCCGGCTCCCCCCGGGGCCGGCGCGGTGGGAGCAGGGAAGGGGCCGGGGAGGGCTGGGAAGCTGCAGTCCAAGAGCTTCTAGGAGCGGAGGGAGCGAGTCCTGCCGCGGGCCGGGGGGCGGCGGAGGGGCCTAACTGGCCTCCATGCGCAGCTTCTTCCTGTTCTGCGGCTCGTCGGGCTCCGAGTCGGAGCTGGAGTCGGAGCCGCCGTCGAAGGCGGAGATGGCACTGCCCTTGGGGTTGGTGTAGAGGCTGTTGTCCGCGGGATAGCTGGCCTGGAGCTGGGCGCTGGCTCGGGCCTTCTCCAGCGCACGCACTGTGAGGGACGGCACTGTGTCACCCCGGGCCTGGCCCTGCCTGCAGCCCAGCGCCTGACAGGCCCCAGCTCCCACTGGAGTCTGGATCCCAAACTCTTCCAGACCCCAGATTCTGCCAGACCCCAGCTCCCACTGAATTCTGGACCCTGCCAAACTCTGGTCCTGCCAGACCTCAGCTCCCCCCAGATCCCAACTCCCAGTGGATCTCAGCTTCCACCAGATCCTGGACTCTGATGGATCATATACTTGCCAGACCCCATCTCCAACTGGATCTTGGATCCCAAACCCCTACTGGACACAAGATCGTGGTTCCCAAAGCCTGCCAGGCCCCAGCTCCTGGATCTCAGACCCTGCCAGACCCCATCTCCAGCCAGATTTCAGCTACCACCTTGCTGCTCCAGCAGCGCATTCTGCCGCTTGAGGTCGTCGATGTCCTGCTGGTGTGTGTGGTTTTTCCGGCGCATGTACTGGATGTACTCTGTGGCTTTGTCCAGGATTTGGGCCCGGGATGCCTGTTGCAATAGTGGGAAAAGCCAGAGGCAAGATAAAGACCTAGTCCAGGGAGGAGAACTGGAGTTTTACCTGCCTCATCCCACCCTGGCTCTGGTCCTTGTTGGGGACTCCCGTGGCACAAGAGAGCCTCGGGAATGTCTCAAATTGAGGAGCCTCGACCACAGGTGGGTGCTGTCCGTGTTCCCAGCACGCTCCATAAACTCACCTTCTCTCCTTGGAGCGAGGGCACGGAATCCCGCAGGCTGTGGAAGCTATCCTTGATGTGGTCCCTGCGCTTGCGCTCCAGCGCATTGTGATGAGCCCGTTTGTCGGCCTGGGAGCGGGGGAACAGGGGTGGCACCGGGAGGAGGCCACCACCTGCACCCCCAAAATTCCCTCTGGGAATCGCTGTGGGAGCTCAGCTGAGCGCCCAGGGCGGCTCCGTGGCCGTGACGCCTCCGGCTGGGCCGCGAGGGCGTGGGAAGGAGGCGGCTCCCGGTGCTTTCGGTTTCCCCAGCTTCCTGCTGCCGGGGCAGCTCCGGGCCCCGGGGTGGGTACAGCACTTTCCCCCTGGAACACGGTCACCTCCTCCCCTGCTCCCCAGCCAACCAGCCAGGAACACGCTCCCCGCATGTCCTCTGTCAGCCCCTGGTGTTGTTCTTCCTGTGCCCCCCAAACGCAGCCCCGCCCCCCCAAATGACCCGGCCCCACACGTAACGCCCCCCCAACACCCC